GCCAGGGAAAAGTGATGAATCAAATGGGGGAACAGAAACTAAGGCTGGAAGAGGAATTGGAACTGGAAATGGGAGTCCAGAAAAAGTCATTATGGTTGGACAGATGGAAAGGATCGAAGGGAATTCCCCCGAGAGAGAGAAAGCCAAGTCCAGTTTTCGGTTTCAGATGCAAGAAGCGGGCTAAAGGAAGTACTGGAAATTCTAGAACAAGAATATAGGCAGAAACTAATAAGGATTTAAGGAGGATCATATAATAAATATTCATTTATTCCCCTGCTGTATCTGCTTAATTGTATTTCTCGTTTGGGCAAAAACTAATTGTGACTTAGTCACTCTTTTTTTTTTTTGAAAAATAAAACCCTCAACTATTCCCAACTCAATTTGCATCCACTCAGCCTCGCTACGTGCTTGGCTTTGTTAATTTCCCATTCAACTGGAGAATGCTTTGAGCTCAATTGGTTGGGAATCCTTTTCTGCATTCCTGCGATGCGTAGTAGGGACATTCAGTCTCCGCCTAATAAACAAAAGTGTTTTATTCAAAAGCATTAACATTTCTTGTGTAATTCCCCTTAAATTCCAGGCATTCAGCCTAGGAAATCACATCCATAACCCGACTCTGACGGCTGACCAGCTAAATGGGCCTGAACATGCAAATTAAGTACAGTCTCGAGTCCTGCCACTACACAAAGGAGACTCATTATGCACTTCCGCGCTTCGTCCTCTCTAAACAATTTTTTTTTTTTGTTCCCAAGGATTATTTTATTATTTTTTTTTTAAGGCAAACTGCATACTTTCAGGCGCCTCGCCAGCTCAACTCCGAGGCAAAGCAAACGAAACAAGAGCAAATCCAACCAAATGGAAGCTGCCACCATTTTATCACATTGACACGCCAACCCGTTGCCCCGCAGGATGCTTGCTGCAGGATGCTGGATACTGGATGTTGTGGTTATGCAATAAAATGTAGCATTTTGCTTTCGGTTTGCCAGAACCAGAGTTCCGAGCTCCGGACCAGAGTGCTCCGAGTTGCATATGTGCAACAATATAGCTGCCAACCGCGCTAGGTAACTCCAGCCATTACTGCCACTGTTCCAGCAACTGTTTCCCAGACACTGAGAGAAATTGTTAATCTATTATATTATTTATAATATTTTTTTTTAGCAGGTTTGCATGTAAAGTTTGAATTGGAAGTGAGGGAGCAAATTATTTTACACATTTTTTTGAAGATTTTGAAGATTAAACAATATTCTCTGCCAGTGCACCACTGACAGTGCAACTTAAGCAGTACTGCCGCAATTTGTTGCAAGTCAGTTGCTCTAGCCCAGGACACCCACACTCCCACTCCTGCTCGTACTCCTTCTCGGGGATTCTGTATAAATTTGTAGCTCCGCTTACACTTCTCTCTCTCTCTCTCTCTCTCTCGCATCCCACCCACCCCCCGGACACGTTAAATGCGCACAGCTGCCGGGATTACCAGGCGGAATTTGCAAATGTAAACGCGGCGAATTAGTCGCGCCCCCGAACATTCCAAACACCCCTCGCAACACCCTCGCACCGAGGGGGAATAGTAAACATATGAAAATCACACACAAATAAATGTAATAAAGAAAGCGGCATCTCAATGAGGGACGCAGGACGCAGGACGCAGGACGCAGGAAGCAGGACAATGTCCCCTTGGCTTGTTGGTTTCCCTTGCCACAAGCCACTCCCACCCCTGCCTCGGCCTTTGGTCCTGCAATGCAGCCTGCCAAAAATTTAACAGATGTCTCGCATTAGATGCGCTTCACTCGACCCCTGAGACCCGCGAGCGGTGAGCCAATGAGCCACTGCTGGCACAGTGGGCCAGGCAGTCAAAAATCTGGACTAGGGTACACTCAGGGCACCTCTGCTGAAAAGAATAATTCCAACAATAATGACTCGGAAAATGAATAGAAATAATGTCAATGTGATGTACGAATTTTCCTATGAAATAATAGAATATTTTCTCATTCTATTTATTTACTAACTATTTTCCTTCTTCAAACCACTGTGCCAGGGCACTCTGTGCGGGTGGATGGACACGGGAATGGGATCAATTTCTCGGCTCGCTCACAACTGCCACCGGGAAACGGCAAACGGAATCGAAACAAATAGTCAGCGAATAAAGCAAATCTAAATATTAATGTGCGACCCAATGAGTTGGAATCGGGTGGAGCTGGCAAACCAAGAGGGGATTGGATTGGCTTGGACAATGCTCGGGGACCGCGAGATAAGCCACAGGACAGCAGCAGGTAGCAAAATGAATCGTTTCTCTCTTTCAATGTTTACTCTTTGCTATTCCCGCGACACAATGCCCCTGCCTCAAGGGGTAGTCAAAGACATTGGGATTATAAAGCCAATATAGATTGATTTGAGATAACAGGCAATTTAAAAACGATTTTTGGCTACTACATAGAAACATCAAATAAAATTAATGTTTTCCCTTTTAATCAGTTTTTGCTCAAGTCAAATCCCTATTTCATTCATAAAATTGTTTTTATATATTAATGTTGAAATTAAAGCAAGCACTGAACTCGCAGATTCGGTGTGAAAAAATCTCGAATCCCCTTTGTTTCTATTTGTATTCGTAAATCTCTAAAGAGGAGAGATGCTGCTCCAGCAGCCAAGTGCTGGGGGTCAGGAGCTGGTAGGGAAAGGAAGTGGGACAGCCGTCGGCTGGAATTTCGCCCAGACATAAATATTTTTTATCACTTTCCGAGCGCTTCATCTTGGCAGAGCAGAGCAGGGCTCAGACTCATCCCTTATCCCCGCCGTTTATTTCGTTGCATTTGTAATGAAGTCCAGAGTCTCGGATTCGGAACTCCGGCGGAGGACTAATTCAAATTTAAGCCATAGAAAATTAATTTTTCGCTACCCCCACGGTGGGCGGAAAAAGCTTTAGCCCAGCGTGGTTGGTGGTTGCTACTCGAAAGTAGACAAACAACGTTCGGCTTATTTGGGCTTAGTTTGGCTTCAAGGTCAATTAAGGGCCGGCAGCCGAGCGTTAAAGAGTTTAGGCAAATTTCAGCCAGGATCTAGTGTCCTTTTATGGAGATTTCCAGCATTAAGGAAGAAGTCTTGGAAGCAGGAAAAAATACGAAACATTTTCTTGATAATAAATTATATATATTTTTTAGATTATTTCATTATTTAAAAGTTCCTTGCAAAAACAAAAAAAAAAACAAAAAACCTATTTTTTTCTCTTTAATTTCCCCTTGTTTTTTGGCTAATCCTTTTCGTTGGTAGGCCATTTCCCTGGGCCAATTGTCATGGGCTTGCCCTGCCGCCATAAGCCATAAATTTGTGCCAACTGACATTCCGTTGAGTCTTTAAGCTGACCTTCGACCCCCATTCCCAGACCCATTCTCTGGCCCATTGCCTTGCCCATTCCCTGGCCCATTCCCCTGCATCCAGGCACTGGCCTTCTCTGCTTTTTTTTTCCTGCCTTTTCTGGGGGGCCCTTTGATTAATTCTGGATGAGGACGACAACGTCGCTGTCGATGGCCCACAAAAAGTTAATCGTTAGTAATTTATGGCTCTCGTCGGAGGCGGAACAGGGGGCGTGCCCGAGCCTAGGTGAGGCGGTACATCGGAGTAATGCGAACCAGAAGACGATGATGAAGATGGCATAAACTTTGACATTAAATATGTGCACACACACACACACACATAGAAACCTATTTTCATTTGTTCATAAATTATTATATATCTTCCTTGAGAGCCTGGCTTCGATTTAAAGTGAATTAGGAGCCATTTGATTATCGCCAAAGATAGTATTTCCTTCTCGGCAAGTGGATAATGGTGGGTTGGTTCTCTGGGCCCAGACAATCGTCTCGCATCGAGGCATTCAACTGCGCCATTCCGAGTGCTGAATAAAACACCAAAAATGCAAAAAGAGAGAAGAATGTTGATGGCAATCCGAAGTGCTCCGTAACGAGGGTATCGAGGGACATCGAGGGGCACAGGCGAGGCACACAATGCTCGCAATTGAAAATGCCACTCGATACCCGTGCCCAGTGCCTGGGCCCTTTTCCCCTTCCCCTTTCCTTTCCCCATTTCCCCGCCAGAACCAACAAAATGCACTCAATTGCAGTGTCCACTGCAAGTGACCATGAAAAGAACTCTCTGGTCTTGACCGAGGGTCGGTCGAGGGATGTATGGAATGGTATGGGTAGGCACCACTTTAGGTTCAATGGAAGCAGAAAAGATGATACTGATTCGCCACCTCGTTCATCATGTTAATGCCCAAGGTCCAAAGTGGTTTCGAATTCATTCAGAAAATGTCGTTGTCGTCGCTGACGCCTTCACAAAAGACGACATTCATTTAATTTAGGTTATTCTTCGGGCAAAGCCACATGCATCTTTTAAATACTATATGTGAATATGGGAAAATGTGTGGAATAGGACGATATATATATATATATAAAACTCTGCAGGAAGGAGGCACACTTTAAAAATCAATATTTTCATCTACCCAAGTTTTGCTCAGTGTGTGGGCACATAATCAGTTCAATATATCTTCTTTAGTGCTGACTTAGAACCCCAAAACTATTTCAGATAACCCTATCTCACAGTTTTTCAAGTGTCAGCTTCAATTACCAAACAAAGATATGCCCTTTATGCTTGAGGTTCAAGAAATATAGTATACGATTTTTAAATTTTCCTCTAAAGATAAACAGTATTTGAGTTTGTGTTATCTCAAATTATTTCATTAATTATGACCCAGGCATCATTAATAACCCACAGAAAAGTGATTAACCAAGGCTTTCTCTTAAAGCTATTAAGTCCATTGGAAAGGATAAAGGACACCCTGAACGCGTTTAAAGTTAACTTTAAAGGGTAAGTACAATAGAGTAAATATTTAAGATTGAATCTCTCAATTAATCACATTAAAATCTGTCCATATATATATTATCCCAGACAAACTAGGACACCACTTCTGTTGGAATAAGAAAGGAGGACTCTTTGGTCTTTGGTTTACTCACTCTTGCACTCGTTGGCATCGTTGTCGGTGGCCCTGCCCCAGGGACGGTCAAAGTAGAAGGGCTTGCAGCGCTCGCACTCGGGCCCGGCGGTATTATGTTTGCAGGCACAGGTCATGGCCAGCTTGGCGCCCAGCTGCAGGCCGCTGCTTCCGATGGTCATGCGTCCAAAGTGACCGCCCAGCGTGGCTCCGCCCGGTGAGTCCTCATCTTGACCATCGTCCTGGTCGGCCCCTGCTGCCGCTCCTGCTCCAACAGTGGCCACACACTCGGAGGCATGGCCATTGCACTTGCAGCGTCCGCCGACGGCAAAGTCAGATACCGCGTAATGCTGCGAGACGGGCAGAGCAGGGGGTGCGGCGGCACTGGTACTGGGTGTAGTCGGAGGCGTGGTCTTGCCGGGCAGACTCTTAACCAGCGGCGGCGGCTGGGGCGACGTGGTAGCCGCCAGCTTGCTCTGGTAGTGCTTCTCGTAGGCATTGCTGCCCTTGTGCTTTGAGTGACGCTTGCCGGAGGAAGACTCACCGTCGCTGGCATAGTCCAGATGCAGGTCGTCGTCCAACTCGAGGTGCTTTTTGGGCTCCTCGTACTCCTCGTCGTAGCCGGCATCGGCACTGTCGTTGTCCTGCAGGTTATAATCGTACTCATCCTGCTCCCCGTCCAACTCCAAATCTGGATCGTCGTCCTCGTCGGCCTCCCGGCTGCCACCCATCTCGTCGCTGAAGCTGTTGGCATTGCGGGCTTTCAGCAGCTGCGGCGGCAGCTCCAGACGATGGAAGACCACCCGGATGTCGGTGGCTGTGACCCAGTCCTGCAGGACCAGCGAGGCGTCCAAATCGTTGGCCGAGGGTCGACCCTCCAGCGTATTAAAGGCGAATCGCTGGGCAGCTCCGCCACCACCGCCACCGCCGGCACCGGCATCATGCTGGGCATTGATGCAGCGTGCCTCCTGCTCGTTGAACTTGGAGATCTTGGCCCGGTCCGGACGGCCGTAGAACTTTTGACACTGGGAGCTGTAGAACTGGAAGGGCTGCCAGGTCTGGCCAAAGTCCGAGCTCTTGAAGATGGCCAGGGAGTCGGGGCGCGGCGAGCGCGGGCAGAAGGAGAGCGAGATGTAGGTCAGCTCGTACTTCTTGCCCAGCGACAGGGTCAGGGTCACGTTGTCCGGCGGCGCGGAGTCGGGGTCGTGGGGCACATTTACCGCTCCCGAGCGCCAGCAGGTTACGTTGCTGGGATTGTTAAGGTCAGTCAAGGCTCCGGCTCCATACCGCTGGTGCGGCTCACAGAGGCGGCAATCGCCGGCACTGCCGTCGCGGAGCAGTTCGCAGTACCGCTCCGGCTGCTGGGCACCGCACACGCTTGACGCCTGAACAGGATTTCCGTAGGCGGCATTCACGAAGCTCGGCAGGCACTTGCGAGGCTTGCCCTCGAAGTAGCAGGGATCGTTGGCCGAGATGCCGCCGGCGGAGATGGCAGCGGGTCCAACGGCGGCCAGCGCCAGTATCAGTGGCAGGATTAGGGTCCTCATGCTGGCAGACTCAACCCTGATTGGGAGAAGGAATGTTTGGAATGATGAGACGGAGAGGTCAAGTGACCGCCGAAAGCCTCTCCGTATTCCATGTTTCATTAAACTTCCAGCTCGATTTTGGGCATCAAAAACCACAAACCACATTCAAAAATTAGACATTTTCAAGGAATTTTAATTTTAAAAAATCAAAATTAGTTTTTAAACTAATTTATGCTTAAATTGTATTGTAAATTTATGCATTTACGACTTGTTTTCTTATCATTTAAATTTTTGAATTCAATTTTAAAGCAATTTTATTATGTTATGTACCTCTTTTAAATGTTCTTAAAGAAACTATTTGTTCACAATGAAATATTAATTATTTTACTCAGAAATAAGCTTATATTATTAGCGAACTTTATTTTAAATAAATGTCTCATGTAGATTAAAATAATGTGAGTTTATTTCTGCTCCAAATTCATTTTTAAAACACCTTACACTTCTTATTTACACAAAAAATACATAGATCCCAAATTGCTGGAATAACAAATCCTTTAAAAAATAAATTATTATTTGAACTTTAAAGAGTTTAAACATTTTAGTTACTAATTTTCTTCTTTAAAAGTTATATTTTAGGCATGATTTAAATTTTAAAGGAAGTTTCACTTAGTTTCCCATAAAAATTAAAACATTCAATTAAAAACATAAAGGGTTAGGAGCCTCTCCATAGGTGAAATTCTTTTGTGGTTAGTTTGAGTTATTCCCTAATTTTTGTGCACAATGGGGCGCCATAATCGACTTTGAACTCGAATGAAACTTGGGAATATCAGTGCTTAGGGGGAGTCCTGGCGAACGTTACGTACATTGGCTCGAATACGCGATACCTCGCACTCCACTCCTTTCTCTGTATTATTGTTCTCCACTCCTCTTTCTCTCTGTTCGTAGTTCTTTTTCGTTCACTCACTCGCGAGGATCGATTCGCGATCGCGGTCACCAAAACAAACAACAACAAAAATAAAGACGCGGCGACGACGGCGCGGCGCGGCACTCACGACGTCGACAGCAGCAGCGACGGCGGCGTCACTGAGTCTGTCACGGCATGCAACAGCTGCTCCGTCCCTGGCTCAGGTTCTGGGTTCCCTAATTCTCCAACTGCCAATTCTCAATTCTCTGTCTAGGTTGTGGATTCTCCGGGCAGCGTTGCCACTCGGTCAACGGCCAGCGTGGTTCTGTTCGCAGCGGCGACGTCCTAGCGCCAACTTGGCCCAAAAGTGTCCTGGCTCTCCGTTCTGGAGTCTGTTCCGACTTCCGACTCGGTTTCGGTTTCAGTTTCACCTCCGCACTCGGCTCGGCATGTTGCACTCTCACTCGCACTCGAACAAAAAGCAACAAAAAGACACGACGCGCCTCGGATTCGGATTCGGGTTCGGGCTCGGGCTCGGGTTCGTTCGTTCTCGCTCGGAATGGCTCGGACTCCGCGTTTCCGCCTTGTTGTTCACCTGGGAAACGTTTGTTTGGTACTGAAAGCGAAGAGCGTGATGCTAAATGATGCCATGTTGCTGGCTGCTGCTGCTGCACAGTGGGATTGCGAGAGCATTTATTTCATGCGAAGATATTAATTATGGCAAATAAATATTATGAAAACTATTTTTACGCTAAATTTATATTACTATTTTACTTTAAATCAAAATTAGTATTCAAATATTTTGTTTCATCAAATGAAATGTAAAAGTTTTAATACAGAACAATAATATATATGATTTGTAAGGTTGGAAATGACTTCTCGTTCACCGTTTTGCAAACTTCTGTTTAATATAATAATACCCTGAATAACATAAGCACCATGAATTGTGTCTCCAATCAGTTTTTTTTAATCTTCCGTTTAAATAATAAATCAAGGCGTTGATTTAACTATTTTGCCCACTGTGCGCTGTGAGATGCTGCTAATGTATGTTGCTGCCCAGTCGGCAGCATATGTTGCTAGCTCTCTTCTATGTCGCGAGCAACATGTGCTTGCTGCCTATGCCAGCCAATTGGGTTTCATTCAATAATACAATATAAATTTTGATATGTCTACGTAAAAACTAAAAAATAATTTTTATATATGTATTTTTTTGCTATTTTACTATTTCAGCCATAAAGGAATAGTTATCAAAAACCGATTTGGGTAGGGCAAAGTAAGAAATTAGAGCTTAATTCGTAAACTTCATAAATTATTATTATTATTTACAGGATAAAATTACTCAACAAGCTTTGCATTGTATAATTTATATTTTATTATATATTGCATTCACTAGTTTGCATTATTGTGTATTAAATTATCATTTTAAGAAATAAAAATGTTTAAAAATCGGGAAATGCTTTAAATAAGTCCAATTAAAATTTATAAATTATCAAGAATGTGTATTTAATGTAATGAAATGTACAATAAATATATAGCTTTAGGTTTGGGGAAATGTGCTGCTTGTACTGTTGTCGCCGCAACATTTATATCCAAGGCAACATATGATGCTTGCTCTCTTTAGCTGGCATCATTGTTGCCATGAATTCCTCGATGTTGATAAAGGAACCAATAGATAAGAAAAAAAATTTTATTTATAGTAAGTTTGTAGAAATTCGTTTAATTTAAGTAGTATTAGGGTCTTTGTAGCCCTATGTTTGTACAGATTTCTCCAGTTGTATACCATATATAGCTAAAGCCTTTCGATCCCCTACCCTCCATTTTTCGATCTCAAAACTTCCGCTGTCATGAATTCGTTTCCATTTCCATTCACAACTGTAAAACGCAGACAGACAAGGACCGAGCGATGCAGCCTGAGTGCGTGAGAGCGGGTTAACTGTGGCGTCGCGACGGAGAAGACACTGAGACGCCTGCGCAACCGATTTGTGCCTCCGCCGGCTCCTCGCTGCCCGCGGCAACGCTTCCTGGGAAGCAGAAATCTTTAATGCCGCGAGCTTGCCCAGCGGCATGTCCCAGCCACCCAACTCCCAGCTCCCACCTCCCTGAACCCATTTCATTGGACGCCCGCTGGCCAGTAATTTGTAAAGAGCGGCTTAAGAGGTACACTGTGAAAATGTTTGTAAAAAAATTTACATTTTATAATATATCAATTCATAACAATTAGGGAATTCAACTTAGCTTAAAATATATATAATATTTTGTGGGATAAAATATCTTATTTTAATTTAAAGCTTGATATATACAGAGTTATCTTTAAATATTTTAATTTTATGCTCTAAATTCTTTAAGTGCACAAGTGGAACGTGCCGAGAGAGAAAGAGAGATCTTTTCCAGGGTTTTTGCGACGAAGCTTCCGTTCAAATGGACTTCACCTCTAACTGTACCATTCCCTCACAGAAAGTCACTGGAAAAATTAATATTAAAATGGACAATTCAAGATAATAAACAATATAAATATTGAAGGCAAGAATAAACAAAACATAAGAGAGTAAATGGGTTTTGTTTTGGAGTTCAACCACCTTTCAGTCTTTTTATATCGAGTGCTGGTTAACTGATTTTGTAAACAAAAAGACTACAAATAATTAACAATAGGAGATGGAACCTTAATATATTCTGGCTTGCAGTCTTTAAATAACATATTTAAGATATATTAAATATTTTCCCGTGTACTTCTTCTGGTCTGCTTGCCGCCTTTTGATTTATTGTTTTTGACATTTTTTCGACATCGTGTCGTCGGCTCACATTTCTTCGGTGCCCCGAACCGCTCCGTCTCCTCCTCCTCCTCCTCCTTAGAGTTCGAGTCCGAGTCCGAGTCCAAGTCACAGCGTTTCAAGTGGATTCGGAGCTGGAAATCTGCTCGTTATGTTTTATTTATAACGGATTTGTTGTTGCCCGCCGCTTTTGGCTTTCCGTCGTGCATTGTTTATAAATATTTATGCCAGGCCGCACATGTGATGAGGACTTCTCCTTTTTCTGACCTGCTCCGGATTTGCTTTCGTTGTTTTTTCCCTCCCTGATTTGGGTTCATTTTGGTGATTTCGGTGATGCCTCCTGATGCCCGTAATGGAATTTTAATTTTATTTGCTTACTGGCCTAGCTGTCGAGGAATACTTTCCAGTCGAGCGCGATTTCACTTCGCCGGGAGCACTCCCCCAGCCAGGAAAGTTAGCAACAGCTCCAGCTCCAACTCCTGTCCAGCAGCTCCTCCGCTTGACGATAGCTCCCGGCTTAAGGTGCACTTCACAAAATAAACTAGATGTTTTCGTTTATAAGATTTAGCTAGAAATTATGGTCAGGTCAGTCCTCCCTTACTTACAAAAACAAGAGAAAAGGCAAGCACTTACCTGCGATTTGTTTTATTGTTAATTTATAATAAACCATTCAAAATTATTTCATTTCTTAAAGTGCACCGAAAAAAGCACATAAAAACGTAAGGTGTAATTATGACGCCCCAATGTTGGCCGGGCGTAAATGGAAGTGGCCAGCACCTGATCATTACAAACATTATAGAACTGGCCCGATGGACCAGTTGATGGCCATGCTTATAGCTGGGCGTTAAGGGGGCGTGTCGCCGGCGAATAGGCTTTGCCAAATTACTCACGATGTATATATATTTTACAAACTAAAAAATAAAACTAAGCTAGGAAAATGCCTAAGCAAAGGCTTTTCTTTTTCGGGAGTCGATGAAAGCGGGTAAAATGAGATGAGAGCAGGCGTTATTACAGGGAAAATATTTAAATTTAACAAAAATTAAATAAATCACAATTAATATATATAATTTAAATAATATTTGAATATTAATTCTATTAAATTATAAAATAATTTTAATAGTTCTAAAATTATTTTATTAAATGCTTAACACTAACCATTTTTCCATTTTTCCCCTTTTGAATTTGCACATTTTTCTATTGTCTTTAAAGTTACCTGAAACTCGAACCATATTCCTGTCCAGAGCTGGTCATGTTGTACATCATAAAATGCCAGACAAAACACAAATCAAACCATTTTGCATTTACTCACACTTATTCATGGAAGAAACCGCATGGAAACCTGAATCAAGATGGGACTTTGATGTCTAAAAATGGAAAACTTGACTTAAATGGAGGTAACTTAGACTTTAAAGAATGCCTTAGTATATATTTTAAATAGAAATTTATAAATATTTATAAATATTTAGTAATTAATTTATATTATCAAATATATATACGTTTTGTTGGGTGTATGAAGACTATATATTAATTACAACAACTAATAATTACTCTTCAGCTTTAACAACATATTTAGGGAAATAAAATGTCTCGAAATTAATCTAGAATATATTATTTATTTCACAAAAATATATATAATTAGTTTATATAGTATATGTATGGTATATTTATTTATCACTCTCACCTGAGAGAGCCTCATTCGAGAGATATTTATGACATAACACATACTCCCGGTCGATACCAATTCCCAATCCATATCCTCCAATCCCCTGGCATATTTATTTATTTGCGTTTGTATTAAATTCTCAATTCATTTTCCAAAAAATTTGTCGGTTTGCTGCTTTCGAATGTTTGCTAGAATATTTGTTATTTCCCTCGTCTCTGGCTGTTGCGGTTGCTTCTATGTATTTCTAATGAGCCTTATGGGTGACTGGACCCCCTTTACCCCACCTCTATTGTGTGTGCGTGCGTGTGTGTGTGTGTGTGTGTGTAATTTCTTTCATTTAAATGATTTATTTATTTTTGCTCATTGCCTTTCGCCAGCTTTTTGGCCCGGCCGCCCCCTAAAACACATACAAAACATTCCTCCCCCTCCACTGAAAGTAATTTCGCTGGCCAAAACACTGTATTTATATATATTTCCCAACTTTACAGTTGCAAATTATAGCTTTTTGTGAATTTTAAGGTTGTCTTGATGAATAACTAGCCAAGTTAAGTGGTCAAGTTGAAGCACAGCTTTTCCCCAAGACAATACAAAAGAGCTGTAAAAATATTTCCCAACGATATGCGTCTTATGCTTTATATTATATTTTTGTTTTCTCTTTGTGTAAATGCCCCTGTGTGTGTGTCTTGGCCTGTACCCCCCCTCTGTTATCCCCGCCACCCCCCGCATTGTTGTGGCTTGCCCGAGCTGCTTTGGTTGCCGGTGTTTTTGCTTTAGTTGTTGCTAGGAAATTGCTTCTGGCATTTGATTTGTACATCATTTTTAACGAAGCATAAAGTTTTCTATATAAGCGATGTTTCGGCCAAAAGGAGGAGGGAGGGAGCAGGGCCGAGAGACAGACAGAACACATCCTTGTTCCTGGAGCTCCTCTTGACTCCGCCACAGAGCCCCATCGAGTTAATGAACAAAATACAAAATACAAAAAAAAAAAACGTGGCATACAGATGTATTATTTTTATTATATCGTGCCTCCGTCGCTTACCACAGAATGTTTGCAGTTTTCAGTGCGTCCTGGTCTGCTCCTGACAGGATATTAAATAGGCATTTTCATTTGCAGGAAATATGAAATCAACAAATTAGAAAATTACAATGCGAATGCCAAGAGGGAAGAAGGCAAACAATTTGAATGGAAATTCCGACCAAAACTTTGGCCATTATCACAAATTATTTTTGCTTGGGGTAAAAGCTTTTATTTTTGTATATTTCAAGGTTATTATCTTATATTTTTCTGGTCGTGTATATTTTGAACACAATTTATTGGGACAGAGGGTCGTGACAAACGTGGTGAGAATGTCACTTGTGACTTGGAGGAACTCGATTCTCATCGATCTCTAGCCGAGCTCAACGAACCGAATACAAAAGAATCAGCGGAAGATTTCTACAGATCTTCCACGGTGGCACTGAGGCATGCCACGACGTCTTCCACTCGAGTGGCCGGGACCCAGGCGATGCACCGTCCCATTCTCAAGTGCACCGTCCCATCAGCATCGCCATCAACATCATCATCCCCAGCTCCTGCCCCCGGCTGCCGTCTTCATCAACATCGATGGGAGACTATCGGAAAATCACGTAATAGGCACGTAGACCAAATATTTACTTAAGCCCGGTCCCGGTCCCGGTCCCGGTCCCGGTCCCGGTCCCAGTGAGGGGGAGGCTCAGGGCCACATTAATGTTGTGGTGGCAACCAATTGACTTGCCCACCGAGGATGGGAAGCGTGAAGGAGTAGCTGTAGCTGGAGTAGACAATGACTTCCTGCTGCAGTAGTTCGACTTAATTGCCCGCATTCAGTGCAGTGATGCACTGTGAGAAAAGTGTAATTGTTTATTAACAAATTACTATATTTGATAGCTAAGTCCTTGTAATCCAAGAGCAAACTTTTATCATACATCATTTAAGCTTAAAAATGTATTACGTAAGCCAATAAAATTTTTTTTTTAATTCGGAAAGGTGACTGAAAGTGTAATACCCTGCTAGGTTATAAAAAGGAACTTTCAGGCTCTAGTAATTTTTCCCTTTTTAATATTACCATATTTCTTGCAGTGTGTGGCAGCTGTGCCGCTGCGAGTGCAACGTCAAGTTCAACATTGACTCGGTAGACGACGGTAAATAAGCAGCTCCGCTCCAGAGTTGACTTTGCATTCCGGGTGTTGCCATAGTCGCAGCCCCCGTGGGATGGATGAGCCTTTGGGGCTGGATATATTCCTTTGATGACCTCCCGCAGCGGGAGGTTGGAGTTTGGTTTGATCTGATCCCCGGTCAGGGGCCAATTCCATTGATTAGGGCAGTGCGTCGTCTGTCCATCCATTCGCCGAAGCTTTCCCAACGAGAATCCTCTTGAGGAAATTGCCAGCATACACAGGCTGCCTCTCCCTCCCCCTTCCCCATTACCAAACAAAATAAAACCTTTCCACCCTCGAGTGTGGCAAATATCAAAGTCAAACAAATGTGAAGTGGCGACAAGGAAAACAAGGGACTGAGACTGAGACTGGGACTGGGACTGGGACTGGATGCGGATGTGGATGTGGAAAAGTGGGCTAGAGGCGAAGGCAGCAGCAAGTGTTTTGCACTAAAAGCGAAACTACTTAGCATTTGCCATCGGAGTTGGACTCGGAAGTTGGACTCGGGACTCCAGAGTCCGGAGTTGGCCAGGCGGAAGCGGAAACAGCAAAGAAACGGCAACCAACGCTCTCGGGGAAAGTGAAAGCCCAGACGAGGAATGAGGTCAAGAGACAAAATAGGCTTACTGACATGTGTGTCTGCCTTTTCGTTTGTGTGTGTGTGTGTATTTAGGTGGGGTGAGACCACTTACTCCCACTTCCACACCCACTCTTATACCATGGCCACCCCCTTTGGAGTAGAGGTTTACGCCGATGGTTAAAGACTTCGGCGGCGGCGTAGAGGTCAAAATGACTCGGCGGCGGCGGCGTAGTAGTCAGAAAGAATCGGCGGCGGCGGCGTACAGATTTTTTTCAAATTAAATAAAATTAGTATTATTGTATTATATCAGTTTATAACGCCTTTATTAACAATAACAATAAAATGAACATAAGTGAGTAAATTAATTGGGTAAATGAAATGAAAATAAATAAAAATTAAGTAACAAATAAAAATAAACATAAAAATAGCAGTCTTTTTCCTTGACTTGAATAAGTTTCATTCATAATTCACATAATTAATGTTCAGTTTTCAATTCAGTTCATTTTTATCTCTTCAATTTGTAAATTTAAGTTAAACTTTCTTTGCAAGTGTCGTAATTGTCATGTATAAAAATTACTTTATTTACGTTGTGAGGACTGAGCTGCGACCGTTTCTGCGTAATTGTAAGACCAGCAATAGAAAAAACTCGCTCACTTGGAGTGCTCGTTGCAGGAATACACAACACTTTTTGTGCCAGCATCGAAAGTAAGGGCATTGCAGGTGCCTTTTCCTTCCAAAATGTCAATACGTCTTGACATGAAGATAAGCTTAGGAGTAGATGGCATTCAGCTTCCAAATTGTTATCTTTGGTATTGGTCGAATGCCGTTGAGCAAGCTTTAAGATTTTGCTTGCAGAATGAGACTCTTGCTGCTGATCGCTATCTTGTTCAACATCTCCAATCAGCTCTTTAAACATTTTTAACAAAAAATCGTTTCTTTTTAAACTTTGTTTCTCGCAATACTCCAACACACAATCAAGTGAGTTGAATCGCGGATCTAATAGGGATGCGCAGACTAGTATATCCGATATCGGGAACCTTGAATCAAATCTATTTTTTATATGGCTTTTCATGAGAGTCAAAGCAAGCGGCTCATTGTTCTCAGGTTCTTCCAATATTGAGACGATTTCAGTTCTTATCACTAACGCAAGACTTATTGATGGATACAAATCTCCAGACAAAACGGTAACTGCATCTTTAAATTTTTTTAAGAAGTCGCATAATTTATATAAAAGCTGTGCTTCATTTTCTAATAATATTAAATGAGTCTTATTGCTGCTTGTGAGCAACTTATTTAATGCGGCTCTTTGGCACCCAAGACTGTCTAACATTGTTAACACGCTGTGCCACCTTGTTGGGACCGAGTTCTTAAGTGAAACATTTCTCTTGTCCACCAAACTACTTTGTAAGTCATTAGGGTTGTTAATATTCTTGTAAGTTTGCAAGGGAACATCATCTAACGGGCCAAAATCATCATCGTAGTCGACCCATTCATTATCTTCGGATGCCAGCAGTTCTTCTAAATTGTCGATATTTGACAAAACTTCCTTTTGAAGTTCGTCAGCTTGACATCTCAAAACATGTGTCTTGAATCGTAAGGCACTCACAATATTTTTGCACTTCACAATCAAATTTTTAATTTCCGGCTCTGAATTGTAACCATCAACATTTAGCAAATTATGTAGTCCATGTCCAAGGCAGAAGTGGTTTTTTATACACCCCAAATTAATAGCTTTTTTGATATTGCTGCCTTGGTCGGTTACGACATAATTAGATCCCATTTGCAAATTATACATTTGAGTAACTTCTTCCACCTCTGTTAAAATGTTACTTGCCGTGTGCGATTTTGACAAATATTTTGTTTCCAGCGTTAAATGCTTCATCTCAAAATTCGCTGACAGAAAATGGAAGGTGAACGTTATATAACTTCTTCTTCTATAGTTATCTGTCCACAAGTCGAAAGTTAAGGCAAAATGTTTTTGTCCAGATACTATCCGTGTAACTGCTCGTAAAATGCATTCATACACATCGTCTAGTGCAGTTGTTGACAGCGTTTTGTAGTGTGGAATGTCAGCATCAGTTGCCACAACTCTATATTTTTTTAAAAAGTCTTTAAGTCCACTGTGACAAATTATATGAAATGGTAGCAAATCTCTAGCCATCCACAAAGCTAGCTCTCGTCCCAGCGCCCACTTACTATCTTTTGGAGATATAATTGGCGTCGATTTTTTGAAAAAATTTGATATTGATCCACGTGTAGCCAATGAAGTACTCGGACTGTCGATATCTCGAATGTTGTGTTCATTTTTGAGGTGTCGACTTAAATTCCCTGTGGAACAGTTCGTGGAATACGACTGAATTTTAGCACTGAAACAATTTACAAAATCTTACTTGAATCTTAAAAAAAGGAACTTAATTATTACCATGAAAAGATTGTTCTTTCGTCGTCTTTTTTTCTGAACATCCAAACATAATCGGCAGAACACCTTGTCCACTTCAATGCAGTTGTTCTCTAATTGCAATGCGCCGAAAAACTCCCACACTTTGCTCTTTCGATTTGAGTAATGGTTGTGTTTAATTGAGTACATACTCAATGGCTGATCCATCTATTTGTTTAGAGAATATTTAATTAATACATATGTTCCTAACACTAGTAATAGTATTTTAAAACTTACTTTGCATATTTACGCACAAAAAACACAGCTTTAGAAAGTAAACCACACCAAATAGCTGTTCTAGAGATGGGACATAGGGAGATGGGAGATGAGACAATCCTAACGATTAATCGATTATTTATATCGAGTATTTGGCCATTTGTATGATTTATTTATTTTTGTTTTTAAGTTATATTAAGAATAATATCACCGAAGGCCGCGCCGGTGCTACGCCGGTGCCGCACCAGCGGCGCGCCGCGGCGCGCCGTTTTTTTCATAATTCGGCGGCGGCGCGTCAAATAAGGCAAAAATCGGCGGCGGCGGCGGCGTGGCGCGGCGGCGTATATGTCTACTTTGGAGTACTCGCCCCTTTGCGGGAATTTAACGGTCAAATCGCTTGACTTTTGCCTGTCCAGAAAGGCATTCCATGAGGTTCTCTGACTCAGAGATTCCTTTCTCCCTAGTATTCCATTGAGGAAATGTATTTCTCATATTTAAATGGGGATTTCGGAATTAAGGGCAACCCTTAGGGGATTTTCAGACGTAAATTACTTGGGAAAAAATATTAAAGGGTATCTCCCCATTCGCTACTGGCTACAGTCCCTTGTATATATTTATTTTTTTGTAACCCTGAAAGCCTGGGACAGCTTACGCCTAATTAACTCGTTTGATGCCTTAGAAGATCCATCTGGAGATGGAGCTGGCCATGCCGGAGTTCATTCCGGTGACCACTGGGGTCTTGAGCTTGCATTTGAGCTTGATTTACCGCTGGCATTCGTTTGATTTATTCACCGAATCATGTATTAATTATGGCCAGTGCTCGGTGCCAGTTCATTTTCCCCGAAACACAGCGGATCGAAGCGGAAACAAGCTCTTGGGGACATGTTAAGTGAACAGTTTACTGTGAAATTGTCAAGAAAATGCGTGCTTAAGCCAGATTAAATGCAGCCCGCTCCAGATTTATGGCCATGTTGTGTGCCCTCTGCGAGTTCGAATTCGTTGCGCTCGGCATTGTTCACTCCAATTATTTATGGGTCAGAAATTCATCTTGGCCAGGTCTCTCGAACAACGGCCGGCAGCAACTATAACATAAATAAAGGCAATATCAAATTTCAATAAGCCAGTTTCAAATGAGAAACTCACCACGCGCTTTACGCTCAGCAACATGTTGCACGGCTGCCGGTAATGTTGCTAGCTAGGGCTCGTTCCTCGTGGCCAGCAACAAGTTGCCAGCGCAAACAGTCGTGGGGACAATAATAGCTCTTCAAAATGTGGGTAAATATTTTGTTTTTATCTGAAAATCCTTACATTTTTAGGTTATTAAAATTTTAGTGAAGAAGTCATTTTCGACCCCATAAACCATATATATTCTTGATCAGCATCAACAGCCGAGTTGATCTAGCCATGTTTGGAAGAAAAAATAATCATATACAAAATTTGTATTATTATTATTCTTGGTTAATTAACATTTGTAGTCCTATTATTTGGAGCTCCGCTGTAGGCTGTGTAGGGTTATGGCTTGATTTGAAATTGGCGATCAAAGAACGAGAAAGAGAGAGAGAGGCGGTGGGCGTGTCCCACGTGGGCGTATTTTTATGTGATTTTTTTTTTTTTTTTTTTTTTTTTTGGGAAACCGCGCGCAGTCAATATCGAAAAAGTAATTAAAGGCAGCGGCGAGACATTGGCGATGCTGATGCCGCAGCCGCTGCTAAATGCTGATGCCAGTCGCAGTTAAGCGCTGCCACAGCCACGCCCCCCGCCCACTGTCTACCGTCCGCCGTCCTGTCAAGTGCAATACGTGCCACAAATGCAGTCGCCCAAATATTGCCGGACCAGCAATAAGATGGCCAAATGGCACATGGCAAATGGCAAATGAAGTGGCAACGACCTGGAATACGCTTTAAAATATACATATAAATATACATTTACGAAGAAAATAAATAATAATAATAATTAATATGTATTCTCATATTTGATCTTTCTATCTTTGATTGCTTTTTTCTTATAATTAATAAGAAATAATATTAAGAAATTTGCCTAAAAGTATGCCAGTGTAAAATGAAATAATATCTCTAAATGCATATTGATAGAACTACTTTAAATATATAACTATTATTTAACTCATTTTTCAACACTAATTTGATACATTTTATAATTTATTTATTTATTAAAATTTTTATTAATATTTTTAGACAATATTTGATAGTTCAAACCTTTGGCAGAAGCTTAACCACCATTTAAAATGTAATTCCTTGTAGATTTTCAAATAATATTTAAATTTAAAAAAAAATCCTAATCATAGAGTATAAAAATAAAGCATACAGTTAGCACTACTGGGGTGTAAGTTTCCACATCACAATTAGATCTAGGCTTTGCCTTTTTTGACCCCACGTTTCCCTGTGAAATTTCGGGTCTGACCCACACGCCAGGTCCTGGCGATGTCCCCATGCGATTCCGAACTTATCTCGCCCGTTGATACACTCGCATCCTTTGCCACCGGGGCCACCGCAAAAAGGACAACAATGTCGACAATAACGGACGACAACAAAACGCATCCGTTTTGTGCAACGCAGTCGACAATTATCAGCGACATGAGCAAACCAATTGTTCAGGCCGAGTGCCATGCCCCATGTCCGCCCGCCTATATCCTGCATCCTGTCCGGATGCCGACCCACGTGTGCGTGTGTGCAGGAAGCGAGCGATAGGCTCACTCTCCAGTCACCACTCTGCTGTTCATTTGTGTATGTAATTGTTTGCCAGCCACGCTGATTACGGTGTTCAATAGCAAGGACGATTTTACACATTTATTCAATACTTCTAAGGATTGCTTAAGGACTAGGCACAAAAAAAAACACACAAGAGAAAGGAAAGGACCAAGGGTAATTATAAAAATAACAATTCGTATTAAGATAACAAAAAAATACATGTAGGTCTTAAGGCTAAATAAAAAAAAAAGAAAAGGATAATATTTGTAATTGTACACATTGGTTAGGTGGAGGAGTCAGGGGCAGGAACGGGAGAAGCACTCGGGCTGTGACACTATCTGGGGATTAGCTCTCTCTCTTCTGGAAACCAAAAAGATAATGGAAACCATTCAATTTCAAACTATTTCAAACTCTAAATAATTTCTGCTTAATTTTGTAATTTTGTTATATTTTCCTAACAACATTAATGGAGGTCAGAGAGAGAGAGAGAGATCCTGTTCTGGCTTCGTTTATCCCGCGGATCATGTGTATGTACAAGGGGTTTAAGGGTCAGCTCCTGGCCACCTAGGCTTTGTCCTTGGCCTCCTCCTGTACATAGCCGGGATTCTCAATGCCACCTTCGGTATTGGCAACATCTACAGGCTCCAACCTAGCCGGCGGATGCGGCTCGGCGCTGGCATGCTCCAAGGACTCGTGTATCACATTGGCCACAATGCCGTTCATCTGGCCCTTGGCCTCGCTGGCCAAGGCCAAGGCTTCAATGGCATTGATGTTGCCATTGGGATCCTTGACAGAGGCCCGCTCTGCATCCGTGCGCGAGAGTTTCCCCCGCTGCCTCACCTGGAAGCGGTACATCCACCTGGCAAGAATCAAGATCAAGATAAAGAAATCCCTTCACGGAGAAGCCTCTCAACACTCACAGGAATATAATCACAGAGAACATGGTCAGGCCGCCGCCCAGCAGGAAGAAGGCACCCGGCAGAACCCGCAGCGTGGCCGCATATAGCGTCGTATACATGGGGGCAAAGACCATGGGCATGAGGGCCTCTGCCACGCCAAACAAGGAGTTCACCTTGCCCAGCTCATCCTTGGAGACCAGCTTGGTGGCTATCGAGCGCATGGCTATGAAGGCGGTGCCATTGAAGATCTCCACCAGACCGCCCAGATACATGTGCCAGGGCAGCGTGGCAAAGGCGTAGACAAAGGAGGAGAGGATCTTCGAGGTGCTGGACAGCACACCCACCAGGGCATCGTCAATGTTCAGCTTGTGCGAGAGCACGCCCACACAGAAGATGACCCCAATGAGGCCAGTGAACATGGCATAGGTGGAGAAGAAGCTGAACTCCACCTCCGACCAGTTGAAGCGGAAGCGGGTGAACAGGTACGTCACAGCCATCTCGCCGTGCAACGGGCCAATGATCACCATCACCACGATCATCAGGAGGATGACACGCTTGCGACGCTGATTCTCGCCCCGCTGGAAGGCCACACGGAATGTCTGCACCACATGCTCCTTGTCAAAGAAGTCCGCCAGCAGGCTCTTCTGTTCGGGACTCTTCTCCGGCCTGGCCACCGGCTCCTCCAAAAAGAAGAAGCCATACACAAAGGCGATCACATAGAAGGCAGCCGATATAGAGAAGACGCCATAGAAACCAATTTGCCTGCAGGGATTGATACGTTTTTATCTATACAAATAAAGTTCCTTTAAGAGGACTCACTTGAGCAGGACTCCGCTGAAGGCCATGCCAATGGGCACGCCCACCGAGAAGCACACATTGAGTATGCCAATTCTTAGGGTTCGCTCCTCCTCTGTGGTTATGTCCGCTATATAACTGAAGACGCCCATCAGCATGGTGAACCAGCCGCCGCTGAGCGAGGGAAAGATGGCCTCCGTCAGAGCGGCGGCCTCCATGGGCGCCTGCTCAAAGTACACGCAGAGCATAAGGCCAACCACGCCCAGGAACTCACCCACCACTGGGATGAGAATGCAGGGCTTCCGCCGGCGATGACGATCGCTCCAAGAGCCCCAGAACAAGATCAGCAGGCAGGGAAACAGACTCTGGATCACCGTCTTCCAGGCGGCCATCCTGGCCACCATCTGCTGTATGGTTTCCTCCTCTCTTTGGGTAAAAAATCAAATAAAGATCATCCTATGGAGGTGATTATAGTCTCTGATATCCTTACAGTGTGTAGTTGGCAGTCTGGCGGCGGGTGAGGGCATCGCACACTTCGTCTCCGTAGGCCATGTTGACGCGACAGGCCTTCTCCAGGTTGAGGTTCTGGGTGGCCAGGTTGGAGAGCACGCTGGGCATGATGTAGGCGGCCAGGATGGGCTCTACGGTGATGTTGTTGGCCACCAGGCGGATCTTCTCACGCCAGGTACGCTTAATTACGGGGCTCTCCTTCTCCTTGGCGCCAGCCTGGGCCTTGTTCTTCTCCAGATTTTGGTTCTGGACCTGGATCTGACTCTGATGCTGATTCTGATTCTGGTCCGAATTGGCGGCTAGTGGCTCTGTGGTCGCTGGGGTAGGCGGAGCATGGTTGACCGTATATTTGCCGAACTTGGCATCGCCCAGGCTGCCGTCCTTGGGTGACATCCTTCCAGGATCTGTGAGGGGAAGAAACTAAGCTCTGATCAGACATCTTTTATATATATCTTGAAATATATTAATCTATGTATATTTAAGCTATCTGTAAAACCCCAGTGAAACCTTGTGAGTTTTCTCTTTCTTCTCTTTTTAAACACAACGGTTCAAACTCTGACAGTGTTGTGTTATCGATAAGGTTATCGCTAGCGTTATCGGTTGGAAAGCTGTTGGGCGGGATTCCCCTGCCCCAGCATCCGCTTGTAGAACCCTAATGAGACGACGGAATCAGAGTTCTATATGTCATGATATACACGCTGTGTAATTAGTGGAACTCCGATCGCTTATGGCACGAGGGAGGGGGGGCTTTGGAAATCCCAGACAACGGCAACGAAGTTTTCATTTTTCATTCGGGTTTCCACTCGATTGCGTTGTACTATGTAGCTTTTAATTGTTTTGCCAAGTGCATTTGTCGATTTGTTTCGTTGTGTTTACACAATTGTTGCCACATTTTGGCTTAAGGCATGTGCCATTCCACACCTCCATCCATCCATCCATCCAACCACTCCTCCCTCCAGCCCTCCAGCCCTCCCTCCATTCAACCATTTAAACATTTAACCATTCGCCAAGCGCATTAACCTTATCTTGGCGAATTGTCGAAGCCCCGACGCGTCTTCAAATTTACAGAACAATGACGATTGCGACTGTTGATTTTTGCCTTTACATTATATAGATATTTAAGAATATTTACTATATGTAGACACAGAACTGTACACGGTTAAATATTTGGCAGACAGATAGCTTACTTCAATGGGAAATAATTAATCTTTGGACTATTAAATACAGGGTCTTGGCCGATGTTTTGTTGTTTGTGTTGACTTTGCGATTGTCTCTCAAAATATTTACATTAATGTGTTTAGGCAAAATATTCCTAATTTTATCTGTGAACATAATAATAAGTGCCCCATTCACGCTTAAGTGATTACAAAAAACTTCAAATATCTTTTAATACATTTCTTAAAGTAATTCTTAAAGAAATAATAGTGAATATCGAAAAGAAATGTCTGATAAAATATTTTGAAAAATATATAAAGCTCGATATTATGATAGATAGATATCGATATATATCGAAAATATGGAAGAAATATTTAAAAATTTATTAAATATAAATTTCTCTCTTGCTGATTATATGTATTGATCCCATATATTAAACAGAATATTCATTTATCGCCCATCTACCGTTACCTTAACATTTTTTGATTGATCGATACCGTATCGATTAATTTGATATTTTCTGCCTTCGCTATCGCTAACTTGCCACCGAATTCAATATACCTTTGTATACCCTGCGTGTAATTCAAATTAACTAAAATTAGGCAAAGTTAATTGACCTTGACAGGTGCTCACACACTCGCACACACTCGCACACACTCGCCTAGGCGAAGCCCCAGCGACCCATAAAGTGCATCAGTGACCGTTTTAATCCCCAACTTCCGCCTGGCGATGACGCAGTCGAATCCACTGGCCAAAACTCGCATAGAAAGCTACGGACAAAGTCCACCCACTTGGCTTGGCTAGAGTGGAACCCAAAAGTAACGATTAAATTCCGCGAATAATAAAAAAAACAATACACTCTAATTACCCACACACACACCTGTCGTCGGGGTTTTTTTTTTTTTTTTTTGACAGGTTGTGCCAAATTTACTGGTTATCTCATTTTTTTGGGGATCTTCACTGTAGCTTTAGCTCTTAAATAGTTAATTATCTCAAGCAAAAGCGACAAATCTCGTCTGCTTTTGCCTAATTGCCTTTAATTGCGGCAGTTGAGCATTTAAGAATCGAGCCAGAAGAATATATATATGCCCTTATATATACTAGTACTTGTCCCACTACTTTAAGATTATTTTATTCTATAAATTCACCGCTAATATAAATCAAAAATCAATCTTTTCAACTTGCAAATTTCTACTTATTTAATTTAATTTTAATATTTTTATTCCATCATTTGCATACATTTTTTATTAACCCGAACTAAGATCCGTTTACTGTGCAAAAAATAAAGCAATTACTATTTTTGCTGAGACTGTAAATCTTAGCCCAAGAGCTCTTGACATTGAATCATGATTCTTACATTGAGAAAAACATAATGAAACCATAATTATGGGTACAGAGAAGTGCATTGTAAAGGTGTAAGAGTTGAAAAAAAATAGGTAAAATAGGTAAAATAGATGCTACTGGCCCGATTTGAGGTCATTTTGGCCGCCGATCGGTCACGTCAAGCATTGCTACTATATATACTGTATAAATATACACTATATGGCGACTATATATGAAGGGGTACTGTTATTGATGGCTCTGCGTTTGGCTGAGCGGCATATTAACTAGCCAAGAGTCGATGGCCCTGGGTATGTGCAACTCCAGGAAGTGGTTATACATATGTACATATATGCGCCGAAATGGACATATTTCATAGTCATGGCTGGTTTTTTAGGGGAAATTTTAGTCAATTAATTGATTGCATATTTCCATAAATATTATTTAGAAATCATTAATCAAGTAAATCCAGAAATTTAACAGGTATTTAAACTATTTATCATTACCTTTAAAGGTAAAGATAAAGGTCTAAGGGCTAACATTTATAAAAACAATTAGAAAACACTTGGGAAAACATATATTTTCTTTAAATTTCTCTCTGCACTTAACCGTTAGGGTCTTCCCACGATATGATTCACGGCGGATAAAGATAAAGCCTCTGATAGACGGAATTACAGCAATTATTAGCGAATATTGCTATTGGCGAGTGCCCATTATTATTATTTTTGTTACTTTTTTATTTTGTCAACGCCATTGTGCTATTATTTAATTTCCTAATCTTGCTTTTAGGGGGGACTACTGGCTTCGCTCATTTCCGGCGGCAAGTTGACAAAACTTTTCACACAAGCGTATCGAACGAACGGTTGGCGCCCCAAATTAGCCATTTACGTTATTAATTGCATGTCTACGACAGATATAGTACAATGTGGCACTACAGATACAGATACAGTTGGAGATACAGCCGCAGATACAGCTAGAGATACAGCTAGAGATACAGATACAGATACAGCTACAGATACAGCTACTCGGATGCGGATACAAAGACACGGCGGCGGAGTCTGCCGGTGACATAAAGTTCGGCCTTAGTCCCTGACTAAATTGGGAATAATTAAATACAATTAGCTGGCAAAATCACAGAATCAAAAAAAAGAAAAAAAAATAATAATAGTAACAGAAGAAAGAAAAACTTTTCTTGTTGGTTTTATTTATGCACAATTCAATGTTAAAATTAACCGCTAAAAATAGTTTACTAATCAGAGACACACACACAACCTCGTTTTTGAACACTTGAAAAAAAATGCAGTATTGTTACTCAATAGACATTATATCTATGAATGATAATTTCTCTCAGTGTAGCTGCGGAAGTTCCGGCAAAGCAGAAGCTGCCATAGAAATATAGAGAAAACAGAGAGAGGAAAACAGACGCAGAAGCAGAGCAGCAAAATAAAACTTGATGAAAAAAATAAACACACGCACACTTAAAAAAAAACTGATCAAAAATGTATATAAAAACCCCGAGAAGTTGGCGATCAAAATAATGATAAACGAGCCAACAATTTGGACAATCAAAACAACAGCGAAAAAAAGACTCATCTCATTTGGCAAAAAACAAAACAAACAAAAAATTCAAAAACAAGCGAATTTAGAATAAATTAAATGCGATTTGTGTAAATTGATTCAGGCCATAATTATAATTAATTCGGCTTGACAAATGGTTTGGGAAATGGTTCGCCAAATGTCCACTGAAAGCAGGATTGTCAAGGCATCCAAAAAACGCAGCTGAGCCTGCTTTGGGTTAGTAAACTGACCTGACTTGATTGGTAAAAATGCTAATTAAAGTTGGAAAATAAACACAGATAGGGCTAGAAAACCCCCTTTTAATGTAATATATATTTACCAGTTTTTAAGTAGAAAACATCTTGTTTTGCTATGGGTTTATATGGGAATTCTACTTGCCAGTAATTTTGGAATCATTCTTGGAAACAATTTAAGCTTTCCTTGAGCTTATGTCTTTTTTATGGTAATTTTAATTATGTAATTTGACTTCTAAATTATTTTTAATACAATTTTAAATAGTTAGCATTTTTATTTTTAAGAAAAACAAAAAATATGCCAAATAAGATGATGTTTTGGTAAGTCTGCCATAATTATTTAGATTTAAGTACGTATTTTTGGCCAGATTTCTCATTTTAAATAGTGTATAGTCTCTTTTCGATTAATTTTTATATATTTTTACATTTCTAGAAATATTATTTACAAGATCAATTAAAAAAATATCCCATTTTAAATGGCTTTTTTGTAAGAAGACCATTAAGATGGGATCTAAAAAGACACCAAATTTCATGTAGTTCCCGATTTATTTTCTATATATTTTTACTAGATTATATAGATGATATATATTATATTTAACTTAAATTTTTTAATGATAATTTTACATATATACCCCCTTTTTTAACATTTATTCCCTAAACTTTTTGTAAACATTTTCGACAACCCTAAGCGAAAGGCAAAGAGCCGTCGGATGGCGCAGATTTGATTTAATTTACATGTCGTTAATAAAATTAGGAAAAAAAAATAAAAAACAAACACAAAAAAGAAGACTGAACACACACACACTCATACACACACTGGCACACGCACATTGCTGGACTAGGCACATAGTCAAATTTTCTGTGGGAATCCCCCGCCCGCTTTTCCCCATTTCGGACTTTCCAACGCTTTTACCTGAGACTCGCTAGGCTGGATGGGCAGGTGTGTTATGTTGACTCCTTTCGTTGTTGGCTTGGCACCTGGCTAGCACTTGGAAGCTGTTCCTCGAATAGCTTTAAAAAAAAATCCACCTAAGTCGACATGGCGGCTGCAGCTGCAGGCGGGTGTGGGCTTTTCGGGGGAATTGAATTAAAGGCACTTGTACGGCGGCATCGGCGGCTTAACGAGCCGTGTGTGTGTGTGTGTGTGTGTGTGCTTGGCGGTGTCCAAAACCCAAAACCCAAAGCCAAACCAGCGGCGTTGAGCTAAACTCGGATACTAAAACGTTCGCTGGGCAGTAACCACCGGCGTCGCCCGGCGGCACCATCGCTGCCTCGGTCGGCAGAGCGCAGCACACCGTACACCGTACACCGTACACCGAGTGTGTGTGCGGGTGTGCGAATATAAGGTGTATACTCACGATCGGTGGATCGGTAGATATATTGTAGAGAGCAGCGCTGCCGGCGACCAAGCCAGCGCTGCTGCAGCGCTCGATAAGCGCGAAAAACAGACGCTCACAAAGGCCTGATGGCATTTCCCAAAAAGCCATGACAAAATATATATCAATTACAATCGGAAGCATCATCCCCTGTTATTCCAATCATAAAGGTTTCCAAATGCCAAGGACAAAGGCTAAGAACAATGGTGGCAAGACTTGACCATAAAAAGATAAGCCCGATAAAAAAGAGTTTTGTAACAATTTACAAAATGATTAATTTATGGATTTTTTAAATATATATAAATATATATATATTTTTTTTTTAAATTGTCAATAAACTTATTTTAAAAATGGAAATTATAAAAATGAATTGCAATAACTTTTTAACTGAACTTTTTAAGTGATGCTAATTTTCAATACCTTTCGTTTGATTTATATATTAGTTTATGGCTTTGACTTAAATTGCCAAAGAGGGAATGTTTAACAGTTTTAAAACCTAAAAGAAAACCCAAAAAAAATGATGGGAAAATCATACGATGCCAGGGAAATCCAAAAACCCAAAAACTTAAGAAAACTAAAGCTTCAAAAAGGCCTTTTAGGCTCTGTAACACCATACCACAGTGATATGTTCAAATTCCAAGCTCTATGTTTTCCTCAAAATACAATTACAATTGTTTCTGTACACCTCCGCTCATTGGCAATTAGCTGATGTGTACGTGGCCCTAATAATAATCGATTAAAATTGTAAAACCATACTTTCCCTGTCAATAGTATCTACGATTCCACACGGCGGAGCACAATGTCTGTGCAAAAGTGGCAATTAGTAGTTCAAATTTGGTGTTTAAAAGTTAATTAGTTAAAAATTAAGACATGATTACGTACAGAAAATACAATGACAATGGGACAACTTTGTAATAGATAGTATTTCTGAAGTAGAAAATATTTTTTAAGGCTTTTTTAAGTCGTATTTAGCATTGGTTGCCAATATTTCAAATTATAAAATATATTACTATGAATATTGATATTTTATATAAAAGTATACTTAATTTAATAAATTTATTTATCAAGGTAAATAATATAAATGTGTGTTTTTTTTTAAATATTTATGAATTTATTAGGGTAAATACAACATAGAACTCTTTAATAGCAGCTCTCACTCTTTTTTTTTTTTTGACAGACAATTAACCTTGAACTAAATTTTATAAATATATATTATTTTTCTATATATATAATATATATTATTTTTTATGACATATTTAATATCCTTTATACATTTTGTTATAAATTATTAAAAACTACAACGGTTCTCTTGAGGGGAAAGCTTTGTCTTGAACGTCCAACTTTCTATTCTCTTATTTTTATTCAATGGACAAGTAACCCTTAACTGTGTTAAAGCCTATATTAGCAACTTATTATACCCTTATATTTGTATTTATCTTTAGTATATTATTTATATTTATGCCTTATAATTAGCACTTTAAGTAGACATCTCTCTCACACTTAAATAAAACATTTGCTTTGGAAACATTAAAGTGAAATGACAGTTGCTTTTCTATCAGTAATCGATATAACTTATACATACAGTAAATTATCTGGAGATTATAGACACAGTTGGTCAAGTAATGTGATATTGACGACAATGCAACAAACAATGCCTTAACACGACACAAGCTTATTATATTATTTCATTTCGTTCCAATCATATAAGCACAGAAAATTTCTTCACAGAGCTGTTTCTTAGAAATATAATAAATAAATTAGTTAATAAAAAGATAAATAAATATATAAATAAACAAATAGTTGAATAATTAAATCCAAATAAAGCCTAGAACAGGACTAAAGAATTAAAATGGGAAAAACTAGAAAAAACAAAACATTGAACGTGACCCCCCTTGGCCTCTAGAATTTCACTTTCTGTTGGCTGCATCTAGTATCAAGTACTTGGAAGCTACTAACTAGTACTTAGTTAGTGGTTAGTACCAGCTCGTGGCTCGCGGCAATCAGCGACTCTCGACTCTCGAGCGGTGGCCACTGGCCGTAATTATCGCCCTGGCTGCCACTTCTAATAACGCGCTGATGATGGGGGGCCCATCATCGGGAGGAGGGGGTTCATCGGACGGTCGACCTTGACTCACAAAGCCACAATGGCGCGGAGACCGCAAAAAGCGGAGATGCTTGGAGGGAGACACAGACTGCAATAATATTTAGTTAAGTATTTGGTAATTCAATGCAAATGCAAGTGGCTCGGAACGCTGATTAATTTCTAATTGCGATTATGCAGGGGGGACGCAGCATAATTACTGGATTCCCCCCCGATCCTATCGGACAATGCAACCCAAGTGGCAACCATAAATCAGTCATCGGCCCTTTCGCCCCCGACCGACTTATCAAATTACCTGAAACTCCATCTCAATCTATGCAAAACTAACTAACTAGTTAGTAACTGCAAAACCCGTTTTGTGTATATTGGCGGAAGAATCGCCTGCCTGTGACATCATCTCTGGCTGTTGGTTATATAAATTAGGATCGATACATACATACATAATTTTCACCCACTTTCACCCGATCAACCGATGATCGGTTGCCCAATTGATTAATTGTGTTGTCGCTAATTGACCGAAACCATTGACGTTTTGCACATAATTTTGATAAATAATTATTGAGGGAGCCGATCGTTAGACCAGAACAAACAGCAAAGCGAAAGATAAACATGTTTGGTCAGTGCAGACTATGAAATTCACATGATTAGACATTTGAATATCCTAACTAAAAATTTTAAAATTCTATTTAAAAATGATTATTAATTCAATCTTATTAGCAACCATTTTTATATTAAAAGTAATTATTAAAAGGCAACTTCCTGGGGATTTTCCACTTAGCCAGCCTGTCATATATACCCCATTTATGTAGGGCAACCAGCATCACGTGCCATCTAATGGACTCTGACACTCATCTCGGACAGCTCCATTCGCAACACAGAAAAGCTCTATTGAAGTGGATGTGCACAATCAGTACAGAGCCGTAAATATATTTATTTTTGGGGTTAGTTAAGGCCGGGTCTAGACTGGTGTCAAAAGTTGGTCCAGCGCAACAAGAGTTGGTCGAAAGTGAGATGCCTCAATGACAATGGCCAACACACCGAAATTTTTATTTTTCATAAATGTATAAATATCTTTCGATTTCATTTTCCATAGAAATAAAATACCTAAAAGCCGTTACACACCCTTGACCTCTACAGTACACCCCTCAGTAGTTGGTATAATTATATAGCAACAATAAAGAACGAGAAATAATAATAGAAAAAAAAAGGAAAATAACACGAGACACGAAATGCCAAACAATCGACGGTCGAAGCTGCTGTTGCTGTCAATCGTGGCGGTGTCATTTGTTGGATAAACAAATTATAAGCTCTGTGTTTGCAATTTAGTAGCATCGCTTTATACCTACAACTAGCATATATAAATATATTTCTATATATGTATACTGGAGTCCGGAGTGGGGCAACTCAAGCGGCACTTGGCCATTGTCTCCAGAGCCATGGCAGCAGGTTGAACCGTGGCTGGAAATGGAATTTGCTATGGAAACGGTTAGAAAATGGTTGTAAAAAAAATGTTCTAACCGAAAATTTACTATATATATAAGAAGAATGTATATATGTGAACTTCAGAGCTATAAATTATCTGTTGATAAAGTCCTTATGTCCCAGGCTTCCTTTTCGAATGCAGTCGATGGCAATCGAACAATTCTTGCCGCCCGCTGTGCTGTTCATTAATCCACCGGCAAAACCGCATCATTTCCAGCAGCAACAAGTTCCCTCATCCCCCACCTAGATGTCCTTGCCAGGACACACAGGCTCCTGGGGGGGGGAGGTGGTTGAGCTGGCCTGCAATCGTAATCAACCATTAAATGCCCATCACGCAGCAGTCTGATAAATTATAATGAAGTAACTGCTAGAGCAATGCAAATCACTGCAGGCTACACAGAGAAAAAATATATCTAGAGTAAATAGAAACTAGAAATTAGTAATCTGAATAAATGCGATAATTTTTTCGTCAGTGGAAAACGATTGATTGATTGCTGCAGCCTCTCAGGAAATGGGAGATGCCGATGGGCTGTCTGGAATGCCTCTGTGAAATGGCAATGGGTTGGAGTAACCAGCAGGGGGTGCCAGGACATCAGGACAACAGGATACTCGAAATCCATACAGGAGCTGACCATATGCATTCATAGGCTTTTGTGACAATGGAATATTTGAAGGGGAAATACCAAAAGTACAGATCAAACTGATCTGAGAGAGTAATTTCGAAGAAAGTCAATGAAATATAGAAAGCATCTCAAAGATACTTGGAAGTAAACTAAAGGAAATTGTAGATTAACTGGAATAAAATTATGTATATATGCATAAACAAATATCCCAAGTTAATTTGTTAAATTAAAAACCAAAGAATTGTCTTGGTCAAAGCAAAACGATGAAGCTATCCATCCACAGTTACTTTCTCCGTGTTAATGTTAACAATTGTTAGGCTTTATGGCCAGCTTTAGGATGCCCTAAGCCCAGTGTGAACTGTACCCCTGGGTACATAACATACGTTGGACAATATGGCTCTGGCATTTACATATAAATATTTATTGCCTTCCTTGGACCTTGGACGGACCCACAAAACGTTGCATGTGAGCGGTCAATTGAACATAACGAAAATGCCTGGACAGGCTCTGAGGCTTCCCCCAAGGGGTTATATCTCTGTTTTCGGCGGTGATAAGGAGCTGCTGTTAAGGGAAGTCCGCATCCCCGCTTTGTTTGCTCTGGGATGCCTTGGATGCTGTCAAGATGCTGGGCTGGGGCGTTCCTTTTTGGCATTTTTTATTATGACTATCAGCGTTTATTGCGGCCAGGATGCGAGGGGTGAGGACTGAGGAGCTCCCCGAGGATTTGTTTTGGTTGTTTTGGGGATGGAACTGGGGAGGCTGCGGCTTTATTATTTCATCATTATAACATTTCTTTTGTGCGTATAAAAACAGTTGTGTGGGGAAAATTAAAGCTTTGGCCTGTAGAGATGATGATGTCAATATTATATTAAATTATATTTCATAAAAAAGCGAGTTTCTTTGATTATATTCTTTATGAAAAGATATAGTTCTGGTAGCAAAGTAATGCTAATATTTTGCCCCTGGCTGTGCCTTAGCTACAGCTTCTTCTCGCAGAGTCGAGGCTGGGCAACCACTTTAAAGTGCCCTGAACTTGATTAATGAATGGCAGCGCTCCAAAGTATGCTACGGCATGCAGCCAACACAAACACACACTGGCTCACACACACACACCCTCGAAGTGTCAACGACACGGCGCTGCAGAAGAAGGAAGAAAGCCACGCGTCCTGACATGGCTTAAAAATTGTTTGCCACGCGAAGCACAAATTGAAATTGGCTCACAAGTTGGCAGCTAATTTAATATTTTCAGTGAAGAGTCCTGGCTGGGTGGGGGAGCTCCCGGAGCTCTGCTCCTCTTATAATTGTCACAGACACGAGTTGTAAGCATTCAAATAATTTCCTCGGCTGGAAGGGAAAACCTTTTCCTGACAGTTGCCAAAATTACATATAAACCAAAATGAAGGGTAAATTCTACTTTGTATCTTGTATCTTACAGTAAGTATCTTTTATTATAAATTATTTCCTTCTCAGCCTAAAAGTATGTAAGATATCTTGGCTTACAACTATCATAATAATATCCGTGGCATTTCTTAAGCTTAGCATTTCCACGATTTATTTTCCCCAAATTCTTGGTCCTGACCTCCGCCTCACCTTTGCCTTCTTTAAGTCCTTCCGCCTCACCTTTCCGGGGGGATAAAACTTTGGCCACAAACTTTCAGCCATGTCCGATTTATTAAATTGGTTTATGATTGGCTTTTCGATGAACTTTGCTCAAGTGAAATGCTAATACGGGCACATCGCTAACTTTAAACGGTTTTCCCCCGCATCTTCCTTGCCATTTCTATATCTGACGCCGCCCTTTTGGCTTCCTGGCAGCCAACATTTTTATGGCTTCCTGTACACCGTGCAAAATAGATACGACAAGATACATATCGTACACACACACACACACATACCTGGCTGGTAATTTAAATTGCACCTGGCTGGCATCCCGATTCATCCCGATGCTGCTGCTGCTGCTGCGGTGATCCATAATTTGCTGTAATTGAATTTAAATGATTTTGCAGCCGAGCATTGGCCTGGAAATGCATGGCATTTCCAATATTGAAAGTCGACGAGGGTCAAACGAGAAGTTATGCCTAACAATAATCATTTATAAATATTTTTTATTATTTCAATTTTCTATATTTTCTTATAATTTCCTTCTGGTTTTTTATATTTTTCTAAGTTTTCTTTTATTTTCTTTTATTTTCCTATATTTTCTTAAATTTCTTTATATTTTCCTATATTTTCCTTTATATTTTAAAATTTTTTAAATTTTTGAATCTATTTTTATATTTTATATTAGGATTTAAATGAATAATTAAAGTTTAACAAAAGGGAAATCATTGAAATTTATTTCGTTTAAATGAAAATTCGTTTCCCTAATATTTAATTATGTTTTCCTTCTAAATGTATATTTTTTTTAATCAACTTGAATCGTTTCAGAATGATTCAATTACAAAATAATAAAAATAAAATAAAAATCAATCCAATAACTTAAGGAATTCCAACCAACTTATTGAATAATTCATCACATAATACCTATATAGTAACTATATATTTATTTACGCCTAAGACCACGTCTCAATCCTTAGCACATTCATGAACAAACCAGCTTAGTCATTCACTCAAACGTCCCCATATTCATTAGCTGATTTGTACAGTGGCTTATGCGGCATTTTATGAGAAGGAAAAGGAGAGAAGGAGGAGGAGGAGGGTTTAACCACGCCCCTGTATTGGGGCTGTATTTACGTGGCTCGCCAGAAATCACTCATACGCCACATGGCCACATTGAAATTCCAACCATAAACCGAAGAAAACTTCTTCCTGCTGCTGTGCTCCTTGGCTTATTTTCGATTTGTGCAACAAATGAAGTGAGAAATTATTTTTATTATTATTTATATATATTTTTACTACCGCTGGCAGGGGCAGCATCTCCATCTTCAGCTTCGAATCACGTATTCACAAAGGCAAACAAACGCATAAATAAACGGGGAAGGGAGTCACGGGGTGGGTAGTTATGAAAAGTAAGCACAAGCCAGGGAAAGCTGGGAAAACACAGCAAGGCTTTGAGCCAAAGAAAGCACATTTTTCGGTGGGCGTCCATCAGTCACATCATTAAAATCGAGCGAGCGGAGCTTCCAGCTCGAGCCGCCTAATTCGAATCCTTGCCGCAAGATGTGCAGAAATTTGACGTGAGGTGGAGGATGAGGAAAATGAGGAGGAGGAGGAACAGCAGGAGGAAGCAACTCCTGGCCAGGAGCAAGAACCCGGCGAGAGTAAAATAGACAGGGACAACAATTCTCTGGAGACATTCATCAATATGCCAAACATGTTTTGTTATCATCAAATGGAAAATGCTTCATTTTCACGTACGCCAAGAGCAAAGCGGAAAATGCACTGCAAGAAAAATCGAACAATTTCAGTTTAAGCCGAATTTTAAATGTGTGAAAGAGTCATTTTGAATCACTTAACCATTTATTATATTTATTTATTTTACTTTTATTTATTCACTGTATTTTGTTTTCAGTGTAAGCAACAGCAACAGGACCAACGGCATCCTGACAGATCGAATGGAAGGGCAGACCGACAGACAGACAGACCGTCAAAGTTGATGGCCGCAAGGCGGAGATGAGTGGAAAGACAGGGCGCGTTATCGTTGAGAATTTCGCAGGTGAATTTCCGGCAACCCACCCACCCACATCCTCTCCCTGTTGCTCCCCCACCGAAATACTTTGCGGCTTGCGGCTACAACACGTTTGGAGCATCTGCCGCCGCGACTCGGCTTAAAGCACCCAAAACTAGCGACGACGGAACACATAAATTGATTACCAGGAACATTTCACGACAAATTCGGCATGTAACAACAATGACAGCGCGCCAAGCACTCCAGCTCGTGGCTCCAGGATGAGTTGGATGGATGAGGTGTAGCATGGGGATCAGGGTTTATCGAAGCAATAGACAACAGTTGCCGGAAGCAATATTCCTTGTGCCGAAATGCAACAGTAGGGAGGAGGGAAGAACCAAATCAAACGCGACAACTGTACGCCAGGAGATTACACAGCCGATGGGGGGATTCCCAAAAGCACAAGTAGAATCATCAGAAGCAAAAGAAGCAACAGAAGCAACTGAAGCAACAGAAGCATCAGGAGCAACAGAACCAAGAGAAGCAACAGTAGCTTTAGAGCCACAGTTAGCTTTCAATCTGAGTCGCTGGGATTCGAGATTGATTTCAGGATTTCTACCAGAACTTCTGGAAGATCAATCCCCCCCAGCAATATCCACCCGAAGCATAGGAACACATAACAAATCAGTATCTCATTGGGGGCTTTAATCTCTCCAAGCCAGCAGATCCCTACCAGCTGTTGACATCATACCACTCGGAGGCAGAGCAAAGGTTGCCAAACTCATCATTCCTGCCGGAGTTGCAGCCCTGGGAACCATAGTCACAGCTGGAGTAGATCTGGCGACCGATCATGTTGGTGGTGGCATAATTGCAGGCCACCAAAACCTGGTTCCAGCCATCACGGTTATACCTGGCAGCGGCACAGCCCACGCGGGTATTCCTCTCGGACATCATCACGGTGAAGTGACCAATGGCCCTAGAAAAACCAAACCAATAAGGAAAGGGAATAGCAAGTAACTCAACTTGATCTCACGGTCCACTGTAGCCCGATGGATAGCCACCATCAATGATGCCACTGTTGGAGTTGTGCACCTCGTCGAACCACATCTGGACACTGTTGTCCAGAATGTAGCCCATGTCGGGCAGGCTGCCGGAATAGGCCTGCCAGGCCAGATTCTGGCCAGAGTACTTGAAGGCGTCCGTGTTGTGGCAGCTGTCGTGGACCATGTTGCATTGCCGGACATTGAGGGAGGCCAGGTAGGCCAGCTCGTCGTCCCATTCCATGGTGGCCATGCGGCAGGCGGCATTGTGATTGGGATCATAGCCTCCAGCAATGTAGTTTCGCTTGTCGTTGTGCGAGTGGACAAAGACCCACTTGTAGTCGTCATTGATGTCGATCAGTTCGGCATCGCCGGGACAGGCGCTGTCCCACCAGTTGCTGTGCCCGCAGGCAATGTGGGAGCCACCGTTGCAGATGTCCCACGAGCAGTAGTCGGTGGCCTGGGCCAGGCCCACAGCCACCAGGAGGATGGCAACCAAAGCGAGTTTCATTGTGAGTTGTTTTCCTGCCCAAGGAATGGACTGATCTAAAGCGAGAACTCCTGGACTGAGAGCTTATATGCCGCAGCTCCGGCACTTATCGGGGGCGGCCAAGTGCCACTGTAAATCACACGAGCTCCTTCCCAGCGAAATCTAATCTCCTATCAATATTTATGAGTGCCAATTCGATATTGACTTTGGGGTGCGATCAGTGTTGCGCCAATAGAAATTATAATAAATTTTATTATTTATAAATAAATATTAAACAAAATTAAAGCTGAATACTGTTTAATTTTTATAATTTTCCCCCTGGACAGCATCTGAAAACCAAGCATTTTTCATGGTCAAAACCCTAAAGTATTATATTCCTATAGTAACCAACTGAAAAATCACATATAACTAAACAGAAAAACACCCAACCTGACATCTCTGGGCAGGATACTGGCCCTGATAAGCGGTCAAGACTCCAACTTGGGGTAGGTCACCTCCATTGATAGACACACTCGAAGCCGATGAGGCTTATCAGAACAGATTGCCGATCAATTTATGGATCACTTCCTCGGACAGGGCAGACTCGTGCAGACGGGAAAGACGGCAACTAGCTGCTTAGTTCAATTAGAGCCAAAAATACGACCGCAATTTAAATAAAACCACCGGATTTATAACATTTTATTAGTTTGTTTTCATGTACAGCCCCAAAGAGCAATGAACAAAGAAACACAAAAAATAAATAAAAGATTAATTCAAGGGGATTTTAGCTAGGGTTAGGGATGGTTGAAAATCGGTAATCCAAAGATATATCTTGATCGTTGTAGGATTAAGATTATATAGATATAATGAGGCACTTTATCGACCTTTCCTAGATCTAAAACAAACGATCGATATCAATCGATAACTTATCGAGAAAGGCAAGCCCGATATTATTATCGTGTTGACTATTATCAGAAAAGGGTATTTTTTCGCATTATATTGATGCTATAAATAAGTTCCTTTAGAAACAAATCAATTAAATACTGTCTTACTATAGTATCTATAGTGTAAGGTTGAAAGCGATATATTTCGATATTTTAAATTTCGAAAAATGAAACTTGAAGAGATTTTCGAAAACATATTCAGCGTGATATTTCAATGAATATTTAAAATCGGATAAATCGGATCTACTCTCAAGGATATCTACCCCATATAGAAACTCCTCTCCCAAATACAAACACAAGTGAATAATTGCTGATGATGAGCTGTCAAGTTCTCACACACACACACTCACATCTTTATCGGATCAAACTTGTTCAATAGAACATGTTGTTCACATCGTACACCTCCTTTGAGCTACACAGATTCTTGTAGGTGGGATTACTGCCAGTGGTGCACTTGCTGGCCGGCGCCTTCGGACAGGAGGTGTACATCTTGATGCCCACGACATTGGTGGCCGCATAGTTGCAGGCCAGGAGGAAGGCCTTGTAGGATTGCCCCGAAACGGAGTAGGTGGCAGCGGCACAGCCCATCTCCGTGTTGCGATCGGCAACCATGACGGTGAAGTGACCAATGGCCGGGCCATTGTAATTCGAGGGATAGGCATCGATGTAGGCCTGCTTGGTGTACACATGCTCGCTGTACCACATGTCCACGCCCCACTCCACATAGTGGGTGACATTCAAGGGACTGTACCAGCCCATCCAGGCCAGATTCTGGCCGGACCAGTCGAAGGCATCGGTGTTGTGGCAGCCATCGTGGCGCATCTGGCAGCTACGCACGTTCAAGGAGGCCAGGTAGGCCAGCTCGTCGTTCCACTTGATGGTGGCCATGCGACATGCGGCACTCAGATTGGCATTCAGACCGCCGGCAATGGTGTTCCTATACTCGTTGGTCCTGTCCACCAGAGCGGCCTTCTGGGCGGTGGTAAGAGTCACCAAAGCGGCGTCGCTGGGGCAGCTAGAGTCCCAGGCCTGAACAGAGAATAAAAAATATACTTATTCCCAGGAAAAAAAACTAAAGTAAGTCTGGATTAACGTTTACAGCTCCTTTTTTTTGTTTTTAATGCTTTATCTAAAGTGTTTTCATGCTTTTCTGGGTACTAAATATTCTTGGAAAACCAATTAAAAGTGGGAGATAACACCAGAGGTAACTCCGGTGTGTGTTGTTTTCCATATAATTGCTTGCCTCTGTTGTTGTTGACATTTATTATCTTGCTAATGGCTCAAGAAGTTACTTCATATAATAAGCAAACTTATTATATTCCTATATAGGTTTGTATATATTTTTAAAAAACATTTCTTTATCGTTTTTGAAGCTTAGCAGTCGCCCAGTAAAGGATCACTCACCCCATTGTTGTCGCATCCCAGATTTTGGGTGGTGCCACAGCTCTTCTTACAGTAATCCGTGGCCAAGACGGTGGTGGCCAGGGCCAGGAGGCCAAGGAGGACTAGGCTTCCACTATGACTGCGCATTTTGCTATTCCGGACTTGATTGCTGGAACTACCGCGCGAACGAAGGGCTTTTATGGAGACTTGGTCGTGCAGTTTCTTTATCAACATTTGATTAAATATTTACGCCGGAGTGTCTCATTTGTCCCAGCTGAGTCTGCTACGCCGCCGTTCAAATACATAGACTACTGGGCTACAACCAACCAACCTACCCGCCCACAGCTCGCTGCTGCCACCCAAAAGACGTCACATAAAAGGTCTGATAAACAACTGTGTGGAGCTGAGAGTTGCTTGCCGCCAATCTGCTGGCATCACTGATTGTTTTCAATTCAAAAAAAAAAAAAACAATAAGAATCAACAGAGCTGTGGTGAGTAATTTGAGGAAAGGGAAAACAACAAGACGGGGAGTCCCATTTTTGGCTCGACGAAGTTTGAATGCCCTTTGAGTTGAGAGAAGCAAGGAGTTTTACTCATATTAATTACACGTGTCAGCTTGTATCTCATTATATTTATCCTATGAAGTTTGTTAAATAAACTATAGTAAAAGGGTCAGGGGACAAGACAAGTGTTAGCTTTGTGTTCGAAAATAAATATATAACTGGAGACCACAGTACGTATGAGTGATGAATGTATGAAGTCTAGTACTATATATCACGCATACGCAGTGTTGTTCCTGGCAAAATATAGATTTCTGAGTATTTGAGATGAAAGAGAGAAGGAGATATGTGTAGTAATCTCAGGCTTTAAGATAATATATTTGTATTACATTTTTAAAACTTGTAAATCAATTATATTTGTATTATTTATTTATATCAACTGAGATAGCAACCTTGAAAAGTATTTCCCACTAAACTTGTTGCCACAAAACCTTGCCTACTCTCAGGCAGCTGCCTAATAATTATGCTTAATAATAATAAATAATAATAAATAGATCTCTTATAGAAATTTCCCTTGAGAAAGTCCCTTGCCCATCGCCCTTGCCCTCAAGGTTTGCTTTCGTTTCTTTATTTACTTGCCTGTAAATATTTGATTTACATTTTTAATTGTTTCAAAGCTCATTAAATGTTTACTCCGTTTATAACAATTCCCCGTCCGGCACGTGCCGTTCACTAGTCAAATGTTAATCCAACTGGAAAGGCGTGGAAAAGGCCAACAAAGCTCTAGGAAAGTTTGTGACCAGCAGCTTGGATATTTTTACAGCTGCTAGGAAATAAACAACATTAAATATTGCCAAATAAAAAATTTTTTTTAATTTTTGATTTGAATTTGAATAGAAATTTTAGAATTTTAGGAATTTTAAACATTATAGACCTCAGTGAGCTTGCACAGACCCGTATAGTTGGCATTGGCGCCCTTCTTGCAGCCAGAGGCCTTGGTGCCCGCCTGGTAAACAGGCTGACCAATCCAATTGGTGGTGGCATAGTTGCAGGCCATCAGGTAATAACTCCAGCCATCCTTCACATAGAAGGCGGCAGCGCAGCCGCAATGGGTGTTCTTCTCCTGGGCCATGGCCGTAAAGTGACCAATTTGCCTGTTGCCAAATAAAAAAACAATAATATATAAGTTTATAATATGTTTTTTCAAAGTAAATGCAAAAAATCCAACTCACGGTCCACTGTAGTTGCTGGGATACTTGGCCATAATGGCCTGGCTGGCATCCTTTTTCTCATTCCACCAGGCATTCACCGAGTCTCTGATTAGCTTGGCCATCGCAGTGGTGCTTATATCGCCGCTAGAGCCAAAGAGGGCCAGATTCTGACCACTGGCCTTGAAGGTCTTGGTGTTGTGGCAGGCATCGTGTTTCATCTCGCACTGCTTCACATTGAGGGCAGCCAGCGTGGCCAGCTCGTTGTTCCAACGCATGGTGGCCATTCGCTTGGCGGGCTTGTATTTGGTCAACTTGCCGCTGGCCAGGTTGTTCCTTAAGGTATTGTGCAGCTTCACGATGAGAGTCTTCTGCTTGGCATTGAAGTTCACCGCCCTGGGAGCGGGACTCGTGGAGCAGTTGGATGAAAAGGCCTAAAGAAGATCAGGAGGGTATCAGAAGAGATCCACGAGTGAATTCTTAGGCTTACTTACCCCATTATTATTGCAGGCAATGTGCTGGGCGGTGCCGCATAGCGAGGAGTCACAGTAGTCGGTGGCTCCTTGCACCAGAGCCAGCGGTATCAGGGCCAAAAGCAGTCGCAACATCTCTAGATATAGTGCCTTCTGGCCATGGCATAATGGCTCAATACCTTTTATAGCCTCCACTTCTTGGAGAGAGAAAAAATAAACCCACAATGGCCATTGTTTAATTCCGGCAGGTGTGTATAATATTTAATTACCCCTTTTGTGCGATTTATCTCAATATTTGCCCTCTTTCAACTTTATTTTCAGCAGCGTGCCACCTGTATTTGTGGCAATCTCAACTCACCGAAGATTTTGGCGCTGTCAATGCACTTGGAGCTATATAGATAGAAGATATATACGATATTCTATATGCTCTTGTGTCTATATTTACTCGATACACTTAAGTTTAGAACACCCGAAGGGGATTCACGCTTAAAAACTGCTCGGCGCTCTTGGTAGATTACAAAAACAAATCATATGTGTTGTTCTGAAATTTCTTTCCTTAATTGCTTAAAAAAAATTGTTACTAAAAGAACATGTTAACATTTTAAAGATAATTCTTAAATGTATACGTGTTCATGTGTGAACAGTTACTTACCCGATATGAAAGATACCCCTTGCTTGATTCCACAAATAAAAAAACCCTTGAACATGTGTATACATATTCATATATATATATATATTCACATATATATATATTTATATATATTTGACATATTTGATATGCTGCCATTTTTGAAGTATTTTTTTAGTAGGGTTCTTCTGTTCTTACAAGGTAGTTTTGTCAACTTTACAAGTAGTTGCTCATACATTCAATACAAATTTTGCAATTTCATAATATATATATATGTATGTATATGCTTGTATGTATGTAGGTCCTGCCGGATGTTGTCAACATAACTTTTGTGTAGATCTAGGACAGGCGGTGGCTGTCTCATTGCATATAATATTTTATTTTTTGCCCTTGCTTAGCTTTCTTTTTGGTACCGAAAAATAAATAGATAAATGTTCTCTTTGCAACCTCTCTCTATTCTCTGTGTATATATATATATATATATATAGGTATTTATTCCAGCTGGTTGACTCTGCATAAGTTTATATATCCGATCTGCGCTATATATACTTATTTGCATAAGAAGTTTATCTGTGGGCTGTGTTTGCAGTTCTTGCTGTAGCTTGTGTCTCGTTAATTAATAATATTTAGCGGACTTGATAAATTTCACACACAAAATATGGATTTGTTTGTTTACATTTCTCTAGAATATATATATATATTATATACTTGTATTGTTTGCACAGTTTGTTTTTGTTATTTATTTGTTTGTTTCTCGTTTGGTTTCTGTTTGGGCTTGGGCTTAGGATTCGGTTTTATTTTGTTTCTATTTTCTCGGGGCAACAATATCAAGAATATGTTTTTGTCTCTTTGCATTCCTTAAAGACCTAGTAGTTGTAAATCATAATATTCATTTTTTCCTTACTTTCTCCTCCCTTTATATCAAATGGTTTATGTACATACATGATTTGCAGTCGATAGGAAACGTAGCCTATGTAGCTGTTGGAATATTTCCTTCAAGGACTAAAGAGAGAGAGAGAAAAGTGCAATCAAAGAGAGCAAGTTATGGGTTTGTTCTCTCCTGCTCTCACTCTCTCTCTCTCTCTCTCTCTCTTGCATAAGACAAAGACTCTTAAAGCCTCATGATGCGTAACGCTCTCAAATTTGTGCGGGCTCGTTACGCATCTTGCTTATGAACAACTTCCCAAACTGACAAAAGTCGAGAGTAAAAACTAAGGCTTATGAGTTATAGACTGGTATTAGCTTTAGCAAATGAATTAAGTGTTAGTTGTGCAGCTGCCATCATGGAGGCGACTTCAAGTCAGCCCCCTCTCTCGTGTAACTTAAAGTAGAAAATTCGCAATATCATATATCATGGAATATACACAAAAGCTAAGCATGTGGCCAGCTTTTCGTTTACATAGAATGGCACACGGGGACGCTAGGCGTGGCAACCGAAAAAGGGGAAAAAGGGACTTAAAAAAAAACAAAGAAGAGACTTTTTTGCAATCCTCTCTTTCAGCTCAATGTGTGCCGCAGTCTCTGTATATTTTATTAGGTTTATTTACAAAACTTGTCATGCAATTAATTCGCTTCAAAATACACACACATATAATATAGTATATGGTATAAATAACAGATGGGAGTCCTTAGGAGGTCCTAAGCGCACTAAATGATGAATACATGGTCTTACACATATCGCGAAATATAGATTAAGTTTGCTTTGCTTTGCGGGATATAGTAACTGGAAACGCTTAACTGGATGTACGTGCTGCTTACTAGCTACAGATATATATGTATTATATATATATAGATCTCAACTGCATATACTATGTATACGAGAGTCTCGCTAATACCTAAGGGGCATTACGTCATATGTATATGCATATATTCTAGCTTTAGGTTTACATGTATGTATGCTTTTTGTTAATTAATAGACACCATTTTGCATTTGTAGCAATAACAACGTTTCGAGTTTCTCATTTTTCACTTCCCCCTCTTAAGTACTTTCAATCTTTACTCTCTACTCCAGCTCTTCCGCCTGCGCCTGATTCTGGGATTGGGTCTGCGACTGCGACTGTGCCGGCGATGGCGGCGGCGGCGGCCCAAACTTACTGGTTATCTTGTGCGAGGCATTGACAATGGCCAGCTCCTGCTTGGAGTCCAGATCGCAGTCATAGAGCCCGCTCAGCGAGTCCAGGCTGAGCAGGCGCGAGCTGGCCCGGCTGGACACCGAGGTGTCGTCCACATCGGGTGCATTGTACAGGGAATTGACGTCCGACAGAGCGCCCTCGGCATCGGTCAGCCCGGCCTCATTCAGCAGGGAGATGTTCTCCAGGCCGGGCTCATCGGTTATGTAGCCAGTTGACTCGGCTCCACCTGTTGGGAGAAGGTTTGGAATTTAAGATTTGCACTTGACTCTGGAGACTCCTATTTATCGTTAGCTCACCTGTGGCCTCCTCGCGGCAATCGTCGTCCGACCACTCCGATTGGCTCTCCAAGGGATTCGAGTCCATGGACTGATGGTTGAGGTGCGCCGCTCCATACTTTAGCTCGTCGTTTATCACATTGGCCTCCAGGCCATACCCTGCCGCATCCCTGCGATCCCGATCCCGTTGCTGTTCCTGCTCCTCGTCATCGTCATCGTCGTTTTGTGGCCTGTGGCCGAGGTCCGAGGGCCTTTGTTGGCGCTTCTGGCGGACATCGCGACCCACTTCATCGTCTTCAAACTCCTCGTCGGCCAGGTTGTCCTCGGTATCGTCACGCTCGTCCTGCTCCTGCTTCTGCAAATGGTTATATCGCTGCTGCTGCTGCTGATGCTGCTGTTGCCTCTGTTGGTGGTGGTGATGGTGGTGGTAGCGTGGATGCCGCTGCTGCTGGGTCACTCCATCCAGACCGTCCAGGCTCTCGTGGCTGTACTGCAGCTCCTTGGAGCGTGGTCGCTGGCGGTGTGACCTCTGCTGCTGCTGCTGCTGCTCCTTGATCGAGTGCATCTCCAGCAGGGCCAGGGCCTGAATCTGCTGGTTGCGATTCTCGTGCAGAATCTCGCAGGATTCCGTGTCCGAGGTTTGCCTGCAACAAGGAGTCACCTTAACTTATAGCTCATGGTTTCAGGGATTCAAGAGAGGAACTACAACTAGGTTAGGGAGCAACCAGAAGCCACCGGTTATGAAAGCGGCGAACCCCACACCACATGACTTTCAATGGGAATATGGAATGGAAGCGGCTCACGCGTGTCATGGCCAGTGATGGGTGGCAGATCCACCTTGCTCCTCCCATCACTGATCTCATGGCCATACTCACATTTGGCTCGACTCCGAGGGATTCTTGTTGCGCGTTATCTCCTTGATGGCCTCCAAGCCCACCGGATGTTTGGCAATCATGAAGCTGCTGCTTCCGGGCAGCAACTTGCCAGACACCAGTTCGTGCTCCAGGTGCTCCATGTGCTCCTGCTGCTGTTGCTGCTGCTTGTGGCCGCCGTTGTTGTTGCCCGTGTTCGAATTGCTGCCACTGCCACCACTGATATTGCCATTGCTGCTGCCGCTGCCACTAGCACTGACACTTCCACTGCCATTGCCCGCCCCCGAACCGGATCCTGCTGGCCCATGGCCATTGCTTGAGCTCAGCCGGCCGTTGCTCAGGGAGTAGCTCATGTCGCGGCTGCCATTGCTGGTCGTGTGATCCGTGGTGGCAGCCGCCAGACAGCGGGCTCGCGTCGACTCGTTCAGCAGACGCTGCAGCTCCCGCTCGAAGGGTGACTTGGTGGCGGTGATGGCACTGACCACACCCGTTGCCGATGTGGCGGTCACCACCTTGGGATCGCCCTTGCCGTTCTGCTGGGCATTGCTCGTCGTCGTCGTGGTCGTGTTGCTGGTGGTGTGCTGTCCCTGACCCTGGCTCTCGGCTGTGGAGCTCAGCTCAAAGTCATGCAGCTGCTCCACCACCGGTGAGGTGGGATCCACCTGGATGTCGCAGGGATAGAGCCATTGCAGGGGATTGACCAGACCGTTGCGCTGCGGCAAATGCTGGGCGAGATGCTGCAGGTGCTGCAGGTGATGCAGTTGGCCGCCATTGGGAAGCCGTGGCGGCGGCGGCGGATTTTCATCACAATCGCCCTCGCCCTCGGTGGTCTTCGAGTAGCTCTCATCCGAGCTGCTCATCGAGGGCGAGTGTGGCCGCGAGCTAAGATCGTCCGTGGAGGACATGTCCCGACTCTCCTCCAGCTCTGCCGGCGGCAGCTTTGGCAGCGGCTTCATGTACGTACGCAGCACGGGCTTCGGGGGCAACTGTGGCTGCTGCGTTGTCTGCTGCAGCTGCTGTTGCTGCGAATACATGGCATACTGACGCTGTGGCTGCTGATCCTGGGCGGGATGTGACTGCTGCTGCTGCTGCTGCTGTGACAACACGGTGTGGGGAGAAGTGTAACGTGGTGGCTCGTACTTTGGCGCATGCTGCATGGGCATGATCTGGGGGCGTGGTTAGTCGGAGATGAGCGACACACAGAGAGAAACAAAAAAGAGAGAGAGAGAGAGATGTGCAGGCAGGCAAAGAGCGGACACAGAGAGTTAGACACATATGGATATACACAATAATAGATATATAAAGGTGGAACTGGGGCAAGAGCAAGCATACCCATCTGGGGTCAGGGACTTAGGGATCATATATATATAAGGACTTAAATGTAAAAATTCTCAAGAACTTTAATGATTTCTAAACTTCTAATTAATTTATTTGGAATTTAAGCGTTAATTATTAAATAAACTATCTCAGTTACTGTCTGTAATTATCACATTAAGGACGAATAGGAATAATCTTCCAAAAATAAAGCCTCAAAAGTTAGAAATATCTGTTGTATATATTTATAAAATATATGGAAATTCTTTCCAAAAATCAATTTGGGAAGAGAGTCAATAACAACCGTCTTTGTGTATTATGTATTGCATAAATATAGATCAAAATTATAACTATAACTGATTTGCCATACAATTTCACGGTCAAAATTAACCAAATGAATCAAATAATTGAATTTAGAGAGCAATCATTAATGGTAAACTTTAAAAAGCTTTTTTTCAGACGAGAAAACCATCTCATTTTCATATGAAGTCTATTCCAGGTCTCTCAGATGTTAGTTACGAATGGAATGAGGAGGAGGAAGAGAAGGAGGAGGCAGATCCAAGGACTGGTTATTTGAGATTCACTTGGCACTGGGGAACAGAGCAAGCAGGACTGTGCTGTGTTCAGAGGAGTATCTCCTTGCTCCAGAGCAGGTGTTCAGCGTCTTCACTCACCTTGGCTACCGGCGCGACGCTGCTGGCATGCAATAGCGGCTCGCTCTCCCGGCAGTGGCCATAGCCCAGGCCCAAACTGGTGGACGATGGCGGGTTCTGATGCTGATGCTGGCTCTGATGCGGGTTCGGATTCGAATGGAGGTGATGCAGTAGTGGATGATGGCCATGCTGGTTAAAGGGCGGCGCATAGGTGCGTAAGTCCCGATCTCGCGATCGCGGCATCATGAAGCAGTCACCGCCGCTACCCACACCCATGCCCATGCCCAAGCCCATGTTTCCGCCCATCTCGTTTAGATCTAGGCTGCCATGGTGCTGCGGCGGCAGCTGCTCCAACTGCGGATGCCGGATGCCGCCCAAAGTTGGGTTCTCAATAATATTAAACTCGCGCAACATTACCGGAGGAACGGGTTGGTTCTGGTGCTGGTGCTGCAGCTGCAGCTGATGCTGGTGCTGGAGTAGGATTTGGTGGTGCTGCACTGGATGTGGGTGTGGGTGTGGATGCTGGAACTGTAGCTGGTGCTGGAAGGGAACAACCGCCACTGCAGCCGGCGCTGTCGTCGTGGAAGTGAAGTCCCCATGCTGCTGCTGTTCGCCATTGTGCCCGTTCCCATTTCCATTCCCATTCCCGTTCTCCCTTATATTGGGCAGTCCGCCGTTGGCCATGAAGTTGGGCTGCTTCTGCAGCTTGCTGTTTAGCCGCTGCTGCTGCTGCTGGTGCAGATGATGGTGCACCGGCGGTGGCGGTGGCTGCGGGGCAGGCAGCGGCAGCGGATCGAGCTGCTTGTGCTGATGCTGCAGCAGAAGTTGCTGCTCCTCGCCGCCACCCGGATATAGGTGACCGTTCTCCTTCTTGCTGTAGGTGTCCGTGTTGACGCGATTCTCCGGGAACTGCGAGGCCTTCATGTAATAGTCCGGGGCATGCAAACTCTGCGGCAGGGACATGGCGTTGCGTACCTCCCCGTTTAAGGACTTGTTGCCGCTGTCGCACAGAAAGTAGGTGACCATGTCGCCCTTGCCCTTCACCTTGATGGTGCCGCGACAGCTATAAGAGAATACGAGACATAAAAATTCAAGGAAAAAACCGAAAAAACCTTCTGAAACTTACCGAAACTCAAAGTGCGATCCCACTAGGCTGTCCACCACCTCCTGGGTCACCTGGCTGTAGCCCGGCACACCGGTGGAGTCCATTCGACTGGCCACATTGACAGTGTTGCCCCAGATGTCGTACTGCGGCTTCCGGGCTCCAATTACCCCGGCCACCACTGGCCCAATGTTGATGCCTAAAGGATGGATATTCCAAGGATATAGAAGGGGGATATATGTATATATCCACAGATTCTACCCACCAACGCGCAGCATAAAGTTGTTGTACGAGTGACTGTTGATCTCCTGGAGGGATAGCCTCATGGCCTTCACATACTCGATGAGCGCGGTCATGTGGCGCCGCACCGAGTTGGGATCGTTGGGTTGGATTTTGTATTCGGGTATGAGACCCACCACGGCCATGTAGGTGCTGCCCACGGTCTTGATTTTGTCAATGCCCCGGAAACGATCCTCCTTTAGGAGCTCATCAAAGTCCGCTATGATCTCGTTCAGCAGCCGGAGGCACTCCAAACCCTGATCAGAGCCATCCATCTCAGTGTAGAACTCATTGAAGTTGGGCACGCTGGCAAAGATGACGCCCACCTTGGCGTAGCTCTGATGGTAGAGCTCCTTTAACCAGAAAGGGTATTCAATTTTTATATTTTCTATATTGATTTTCCCGTAGAGAATTGATCGGTTTCCTTTTGGTCTGGCCAAGTGGGTCAGCGGAGCAGCACTTACCATGTTGTTGCGGAATTGCGCATCGAGGAAATGTGCAGCCACATGAGCGGGCAGCAAATTATGCAGAATGCGCTTGTTCGACTCCTGCAGCACGTCCATCTCCTTCTTCTCCTGCGAGGCCTGCAGCTGCCAAAGGAAATCCAGCCGGGCAGTGCCCTCCACCAGGCGGCCGTGCACCAGAATGGCAATCATGAAGATGGCTATGCGGGCCAGCGAGATCAAGTGAAGCGGAATCGAGGCGCTGCAGGCCGAGACATTAGGGGTTAGCAACAAATAAGAAAAAATAAATACATATGAAAGAGTTGACCTACTTGACCCGGTTGTCGTAGCATTCAAAGATGTTCTGGTGCGACAGCTCGATGAACAAAGCATAGATGGTGCCCATGCCCAGCACCAGCAGCGACTTGAATATTATGGGCAGCCTGTGGCGGAACATGACTCTCGATTAGCTTCTCCTTGTGACGTAAGGCATGCATCCTCCCCCCATACTCACCTGAGGAACACGGAGACGGACAGAAAGGCAAAGGCAGCCGACAAGGAAACGTACTGCGGCAGGGAGCACTTGCGGTGCGAATCGTTTGGGTAGGAGAAGAAGTGCGGGTCCAGCTCCCGGCGACTAGACCAGGCAGTGGCCGTTGCATTGCCAGAGCAGGGATGGTCCGAGACACAAGTAAACTGGGGTAAAGAACACCATTAAAGAGTTTGCAACGGTAATGAAAATCCGTTTCAAACATTTTTTAAAAATTACAAAAGATAAACTTACCACATTCACTTGACCCACGGAGTAGATAAGGATTATCGTAAAGATCGTGATGGCCATGCGGAGTGAGAAGCTCTCCGAAATGTCCCAGATGATCCACTTGAGACGCACGGCGAGTAGAAGCATTAGTATGGCGCTCACCCAAATGAAGGCGGTGAGAAAGAGCAGCAGCAGAATGAGTGTGCGCGGCAAGGCGGTCACCTGAAGTGCCGCTCCCAGGATGAGCAGCAGCAGGGAGCAGCCCATGGCCGTGGTGAAGCCCAGATCGAAGTCCTTGTGGTATTCGCGCTCCATGTCGCTCTGCCGGAAGCGCAGCGTCAGCCTATCCACGTGCTCCGACTTGTCGCAGTCCACGGACCGGGCATTGATCGCCTGCGACAGGAAGCGATTCACCCGATTGGTGGGCTGATGATGGGCAGCCACCGAGTGACGCTTCCGGAAGGGTCGCTTGAACTTGTCCGCCACCTTTGACTGCGACTGTGGATGTGGATGCCGGGGCGGTAAGCCATGCAAGAGGGAGCAAGAAAAGTTGATTGTTAGTTTTGTTTGTGGCTCTCGCTGCTTTCGTCTCGCTGATGGCGCCACTCGCTGAAGATTTAAAATTAAAGATAAAGAGAGAGAGAGAGAGAGTATGCGGTGTGTGTGTTCTACGTGTGTGCACACCAACTACATGCTGAAAACCGATCACTGAGAGGTAGCAGGCAGGGCTGGGCAGTTGCACTAAACATGCGGAGCGAAAAAGCTGGGCTAGAGCATGCACACCGGATGAGGGATAGAAAATGGAAAATGGGGTATGGGGTATGGAAAAGGAAAATTAAAATGGAGCGAGAGCTAGCTAGAGCTGAAGCTGGCACTGGGCAAGCTAGTTTCTGACACTGAACTGAATTGGCTTAAGCGACTTTAAGGGGATCTAACCCTAATAAAAAGTTCGATCTAAAATTCTCCGACTTTAAGAATTATTAAAGTTATATTTGCAACTAGAAAGAAAATAAAATATCTAAAGTTAAAAACAAAGTATGAAATATACTAATAGCTAAATAAAGGCATAAAGCTTACTTTAAATAGTCTACAAACGGAGGGCTATTCATGAATCTAAAAATATTATTTATAGATCTCGTTAAAGTTCAGTGTCATGAGGCTTTTTTTCTGGTAAAGCGTATTGTAACTCATTTTGTAACTTGGCTTTATAGCAATCGCAATAACTTAACGAATAAACGAGCGAGACACACTTACGATTAGTTACAAGTAACACACTTATTGAACGAATGGATATAAACGCACATGGACAGCACATGAACGAAACACAAACTGAACGAACGAACGACTGAACGAACGAGTAAAGGAACGAGTGAACAAGTGAACGAGTAATTGAACGAGAGAACGATTGACTGAAATAACGACTGAACAAATGAACGAAAGTAAAAATTGTTGTTGGCTGCTGCTCTGCTCACTTTATTGTTCTTGTGATTGTGCCTATGAATGCGACTAATCGTACTCGCTGTTGAGTTGGGATTTGTGCCTACGGTCACTTGAACACTGCCCACACCGCCACCGCCACCACCTCCTCCATTATTACCACCACCACTACCACCAAGGACGACGCTGGCACCGCCGCCTACGCTGCCATAGCTCACGCCGTGCGGTGGCGGTGTTGCATGCAAGATCTTTTGCAGACGGATCACCTAGATCGGAGAAGTGTTACGTATACTTGTATAAGTCATATGTACATTAGATCAAAAAGATAGAGAGAGAAAGAGAGTTGCTTATCCTAGTGCTAGGTTCAATAGTAGCGAGAAGTACAATTAATCGAGTAACGGTAAGTTTGGTTAGGGCGAGAAAGAAGATAACGAGTAGGGTAAAAAAAGAGGCGTATTGAAGGCGTAAAACCACAGTTCTTGTTTTTATCAGGTGTATAAAATGAAAAATCGAAATAATCGAACCATTTCACAATTATTTCCATATATTTAGTAATGTTATTTCTTTTACATCTTAAAAAAAATATATCTATATCTTTGTATACTCTGGTGTTATGCCTTAAGTAAAAACAAAACTCGAAATATAGTAATTGTAGCGAAACTGAGCAATCGCTGGCTATAATCATAATAGCACTAAAATAATAGGTGAGTACAGGCTTAATAGCACAGTGGGCCAAAATAGCGTGTTAGCGGAACTAAGAAATATCAATTTGAAGGTTTTTTGAAGGATTTCTGTGGCAGTCAAAACTGTGACAAAATTGGAGCTTAGTCTGATAAGAAATATCGCGGCGATTTTTGTTATTTTTTCAAATTAAATTATTACCAAAACTTCATTACATTGATGTTAGAACCAGTTGGGAATTATATGTTATTTTTTCAAGCTAATTAAAGTTATAATAACCCAAAAAATAACAGAAATAAAAGGATAGATGGAGACTGGCTAGACTTTGGTGATAGTAAAGGGATCAAGAATTAGCCAAACTTCTACAAGTTGTATTCCTTTAAAAGAAAAATAACCTTTAAAAGCCGAAACCTAATCAGTTATTTGCGAGGACATTAGTACAGATCAAGTAATTATCATCTGAGGTCAGTGTAGCATTATTCAAACATATTTTGATTCTTTCCAATACGTTGACTCTGATATATGATCTATATATATATGTATATATATTGCAACCTATTAGCCAAGTAGTTCTACATTTAAACTACATTTATACAAACAACATCGATGCAAAAAAAAAAAAGATAAACCAAACGAATGCTCTCAATATACTTTACACACTACAGTTGTTAGTAGACACAGTAGCTTACGAACTGATCTCTATTTAAGCTAATGCTACGAATGTCTATATTTATATGTTTGATATTTGTAACAATTAATAATTATTAATAATATAAAATGCGACTACATAAACGACAGGGCCCACGGAGTACGGGAGAACCGAAAAGGCAAACCCGGCGTAGAACTAAGAAAGAGCGAAAATCAAAAAAAAAAAAAAAAAAAAAAAAAAAAAAAAACAGCGGAGGGATTAGGTTATATGTAATATATATATCGGCTTTAACGGTAACGGAATCGGGGGTTTCGACTGATGGCAGAAATACTTAGGCATAGACACGAGGCAAACTTACCGCATCCTGAAAGAAAACGAAAGGAAACAAATCAAAGAAAGAAATGAAAAGGAGAGAGAGTCCGCGCGGCAACTACCCATAGATTTTCGGGTTATATTTTACACAGTAAGGAAAAGGTCACCATTAACCGTTATGATCCCCACCGAGCCCTTAACCCAAACCGGACATGCAGAGATCTAGAACTGAAACTCAACTCAAACTCAAACTGAAACTGAAACTTGGAAACGGGAACGGAAATTCAAACTGAAACTTCAACTTCAACTTTAACTGCAACTGGAGCTACGACAACAGAACACAACCGAGCTACAGAACCAACTTTCTAGATGCGAAACTCGCCCCAAAACTTGGCTCCTCAACCAAGTACACCAACCCGTGGAGTGGTAGATAATCCTGGACACCACTTACCTTACGCGAACCTCCCTTCTCCGACACCTGCACGCCGCTGCCGGTGTTTGCCTCACAGCTGCTGCCACGTGCCACGCCCACACCACCAATGCCGACGCCACCGCCACCAACACCGCCGCCCAAAGCGCTTGCCGCTGAAGGAAACGATCCGGTGGCTATGTTGGAGAACGGAACGGGCTCCGAGAACTTGATCGTGTGCAGCAACTGCATGACCACGTTGGACACGTTCCTGAAAGAGAGCTTTCGTCGACTTCCAATCGCCGATCGTACGCCGAGAGTATTAAGCATCAGCGGCTGTGGGGGAATAATAAAAGAAAAATCCAAAAGATCAGTTCATAAATCCAGCAGAACTTTGTCCAGGCAACTCACCTTTCTGCGATGTGGCGGCGGCACAATAAAGAACGTATCCACCCCATGATCGCGTAGGTACGAGGAACGCTCATCTCCGTGGCCTGCTTCCACCTCGTATTCGCCGGACAGCGAGTCGAGGGTGGCACGGGTCACATGCACCCGGCCGGGCTCACCGCCCGACTCCATGTGATTGGCCAAGGTCACATCGTTGGACCACACATCAAACTGCCATTTGCGAAGACCCAGAACGCCGCAAAGCACGCGACCCGTGTGGATGCCCACGCGCATGTTCAGTATCACATCGGTGGCCTCCACCACGGTTCTGTCGGAAATGGAATAGGAATAGGTGGCATTAATATAGCCATACAAAGGATGAAGCATTAGGGATTTAGATATATGAAGAAGAAAGTCTAGTAAGATTATAGCGTTATAGCGCTCAATATCATAACGATAATTTCGTAAACTTTGATGTATCGAAATTTTAAATATCGAAAAAGAAATATTGATATATATGAAAATATTGGAATGTGTTATTTATTTCACTTTTCTATTTTTTTTTCAAGTTTATTATCAAAATGTTAAATATCATAATATATTGAATTTAAAGTTAAAATATCGTTATTATCGGAAAATGTCGAAACATTTGTATTCAAAATATATATTGCATTTAATTTAATTTTAATTAATTTAATTTAATTTAAATTAATTTAATTTAATTTAATTTTAATTAATTTAATTTAATTTTAATTAATTTAATTTAATTTTAATTAATTTAATTTAATTTTACAAGGCCAGATATCTTTAAACACACACATATTTAATTTGTTTTATTGATTGTCTCATCAATTGTGACACGATAAGTACCATATCAATTAGAATTAAACACTGACAATCGTGGTTAAAGTGTCTTTGTTGTTATCAACGGAAGAGGCAGTTTATCAACAACAAAAAAACAAAAGTGCTGTCAGAGACTCATTCAAATAAAATTATGGAAAATAACCAACAATCTCAAGTAGTTCTAACGATCCCAAGATTATTTTATTATACTATCTTTGGTAGCAAAAAAAAAAAAAAAAACTATTACTCACGCAATGGCATCAATCATGTCCAGTCCCATTTCGACGGCGCACTTGGCATGATCCTTCCGCGGCTCTGGCAAACCGGAAACACAGTAATAACAATCGCCCAGGATCTTGATTCGCAGACAATGGTTGTCGTGGGCCAGCTGATCGAAGCGCCCGAAGAGCTCGTTGAGCAGCCGGACCAGCTCCTGGGCGCTGCACTGCGAGGAGAGCACCGTGAACCCGACAATGTCCGCAAAGAGAATGCTCACGTTCTCGTGCTTCTGGATGTAGATGCGATGGAACTGACCGGCCACCGGCGACAGAATATCGTTCTTCATCTGCATGGCCACATGCTGCGGCAGCACGGAGAGCAACAGCCGCTCCAGCTTCTCGTTCTCATCCTGGATCTCTAGCCGAGCGGCGATACAGTTCCGCGTATCGAGAAAGGTGCGACGCTGGGCCCGCTCCATCATGATGTTCACCACCAGACCGGCCACATTCACTCCAATAAAGATGACAATGTTGGCAATCAGCTGATTGTATTCCAGGTAACGCAAGGCATCCGTGAAAATCTTGTAGACAGTCAGGCTAATGTGCACCGAGGGCAGGGCAATACCAAAGGCCACCGCCTCCCAGATTTGCAGCGGCATCATGGCATAGGCCAGGAAGACCACAAAGACAATTTGCCAGACGCCCTCGGCCATTACCTCCTTGGTGTCCACCGGGAACACGCTGCCCAGCGTTGGCATAGACACCACACAAATGCTGGCGGTAAAGAGCAGGATGCCATAGCACAAAGTGGGCAGGTGATGGTCCTTGATCACGGAGCACTGCAGCAAGACCAGGACCACAGCGAATAGCACACAAACAATTGCATTGAAGATGTTCTGCGGGAGGGTTAGAGATATTTTACATATTATAACCCCTTTATTAGAGGGTTAATTATATAAGAAATAAAGCTTACATGAAAAGTGGCCGCATTGTTAAAGGCCAGCGACAGGGCCGCCATCACGCCGCAGAGGACAACGACCAGCGCCACCACGCCCAGCACCGAGAAGCGCTGCAGCTTGAGCGTGTACCGCTGGTAGAGGCATTCCAGCTCATCATTCTCGAAGCGCAGCGTGTTGAGCGGGCGGCCACGCGTCGCCTTCACGGCATGGTCCATGCGGCGCCGCCGCTGCTACCCAGCGGCAACAGTCGACGCCTGCCAAAGGTGGTTGAGTGGTGGTTACAAAGTTCCAGGGACTGCAAAGAGAGGAAATTAACTAATTAATTTATTGTCTCTCATTATTCATAATATTTTTTTTACTAGATTATGTAGAAGCATCACAAAACCCCTATGATTTGTTGTTCCAAACTCGGAATCTAAAAACAACTTTCAAACTAACAAAAAGAACTATACCATGCCCACCTAGGCACTACATCTTTCTCTTCCTGTAAACGTAACCAGGTGACCTTGAAGCCGTATGCCTGATGGGGTGGCCACGACACCATGCTCACGATGGCGCACGCAACCATTGGAGGGGAAAATGTCCAATGCCCAGCACAGCACAGCCCCTCCCGTCTGCACACACGCCTCGGTGCGGAATCGCTTAAAATAAAATTTCCTTTACCATTTGCTAAACAACAAAAAAAAAAACCCCACAATATTTGCTAAAAATAAGTAGTAAACGGACAGAAGCTGGCGAGAAATCAATCAATGTTTAGCTGGTCACCCGCCTCTCTGTCCCAGGAACCCTGGGATCTGGCCCAAAGATAACTTTTGCTTCTGGTTCCTGGGGCTTCTGCTGACAACCGACTTTGGGGCAGAAGATTAATTGCGATTTGTATGCGGCAATCCGTTAAATTCATTGAAATATTATGCACAAATTAATTTCGCAAATAAAAACCGTAATTAGCCGACTTTAACGAGTGCAGCGTGGAATATTTGGCCGAAGCAGCCGCCGCCAATGGATCGATGTCTATATTCGGCTCTGCCCCAAGACGTTAAATCAATTAGGCATGAAAACATTTATAGACAACCGTGGAACATTGCCACACCACAGCAGCCAGCAGCAGCCAGCACCAGCAACAACAGCACCTGCCCAGAGCTAACCTAGCCAGAGGACTCTGGGAGGCAAGGTGTCATCTGGTTGGGTCTACTCATACTTTGGATTTAAAATTAATGAAAAGGAATGTTCTAGAGGCAAAGAATATCCTTTTCAAACTGATAATTTAATTTTTAGAACTCTTCAGTACGAATTTAGGTAGATGCAAAAGTTAAAGACCGATCGATCATCAGCAAATAGCACTGATGAAGCCCCTAAGGTAAGCCTAAAGCAATTGTATATTGTAAAGCCTGAAAATATTTGAAAATCTATATAAGCTTGTCAAGTTTTTGACTGATCTTTTCTGCTCTATATTTATCTTAAGCCCTCAAGTATCTACATGATCCTTCACTCCATCATCACTTGGTGTTCCATGAACAGTGCGAATGAACTCCTATGAGGAGTACAGCTGGATCAGGCTGTGTTTTTGTGTTTAAACAGTTTGCCAACTGACGATCCAGCGACAATTGAACGTCAACATGAATGTTGGCATTGTTTTTGTGGTAGCAGTTTGTCAGTCTGACAGTCACACAGTTGGCTTATTCGCTGATCTGCCATCAATTTGTTTGCTCGCCGGCTTGTTTGTTTGCTTTTGGGGGCTGCTGTTTGAATCATTTTTGATGTACGCATTTAGAATTTGCATTTTCGCAGCGACATTAATATAATGAGACGTGAATATTTTCAATTTGCGTCCACGTACGTCGCACTCGCACTCGTAGTTGTACCAAACTTAATGCTCTTGCCTTTCTGCGTGTGTGTGGGCTTGTCCAAAAACAAAAAATATATATTCTATTTGCGGCACGCCAAGTGCTCGGGCATATATTTCCGAGTTATGCAAGTGTAAATACGTGTGTGTGCTTCCTTCTCGCACTGCTGCAGGTTCAGAAATCAGAAATCAGACATTAGAAATCAGAAATCGAAAAACCAAAATCAACTGGCAACGGAGAATCACTGGCACTGCCATAATAAATTCACGTCAACAAACACTGGGAATTTCGTGCGTATTTTGGAAATTATATATTTATGTGTCCTACATAAATTGCGCCAGGCTGTTGTTGGCCGCGAAATGAATTAAATGAACTCAAGTGCTATGAGAGCTTTTGTCAGTCGGCGAACGATTGGCGAACATACCATGGAATCGGCGAGGAGCACTTGGCATCGAAGCAGAGCAACTTTCTCATTGATTTTATACCCCACACAGCGATACCCACCCAGAAATACCCACATAAAATAGTCAACATTGCGGCCAATTGCTAGAATACTAAGTTTATATAAATACAATTTGCAGCTAAATCTAGTTGGGAATTTTAGGGAAATGATGCTCAAAGGGAGACCCCTTTTAAGTAATTTGAAAGTCTGTTTAAATCTATGTATGTATTCATCAGACTTTTCTTATAGTTCTCAACTAGTTTAAGAACAAAAAGCATGACTTACCCTATGATGTATGAATTATAATCAAGAAACCACTTGCTTTTTAGGAAAAATACACAAATATATACGACTGACGCTTACTGAGCCGCCTTCAGTCTTAGATTTTCTTATATCTAATGCGGTTTTTCCTCTGCTTATTAACCGAGGGCGTGCATATCCCTCGCGAAGCGAAAACATGACATTTTCCTGTGTTTTGCGCTTGTTTCCGCTTGACGGACACGAGCGGCCCATTGACAGGCAGCCAGCCAGCCAGTCAGCCACCGCCTCGGCATCTACGGAGGAGATCAGAGTCCAAAGAGGCTTCTTGCCAACAGTGTTCGCTGTGTTCAATTAAGAAGGGGCCACGCCCCCACTCATTCGAGAGGATAAGTTCAGTGTCAATCACTGGCACTGCAAGTGATTCGGCTGCAGTGATTCCTCCCGATTGATTTTCCATTCCCCCTCAATTGACAGCAATTAAGTTTGCAACACTTTGATGGGCTTCCCAGCATTAAGCGAGCATAGGGAAATCATTCCCGTAATCATCGTAATATAATCAATCAAATTTCAATTTCCAATTTTCGCTTTCGTCGTAGTCGTCGTCTGGCGCCCGGAAAACAAATTAAGGCAAACAGCCATAGAAAAGTCGATGCAAAAGCAGCAGCCGAAATGACGCAAGCTCAAATATTTAGCAAAAAAAAAAAAAAGGAAAAGCAAGAAGGAAATGAAAAAGTTTTTGGGTTATATATCTAAATATATATATAATATAGACATTGGCCTTTTAAAGCTTTTTTATGGCCCACTAAACTGCTTCGTTTCCGGATGCACTTTAAGTGCTTTAAGTAAGTGCAGCTAGTAAACAGTTTCCTTTTGGCAATATTAATTATCAAACTGTGAAATAAACAAAGTATAAATTTACTTTGTTCCCCGAGAACCCATCTCACAAATTAAACAAAACTCTTAACACTCATCCGCCATGTGGTCCGCCCATATATCCATTTTTCAGGCCCAGCAAATTGTGTTAAAAGCAAAGTTTTCAACTGCAATTTCCCTGATGGACAACAAAGTTGCCTCGGCAGCAGCCAAAAAACCAATTATAATATAGAGTCACCACCACCGCGCACGTCACAGCCTATGTATGTTCAAATTTTCCCCCTTTTTTTTTTTTTTTTTTTTTTGCCCGGCAAAGACAAAATCAATTAGTGGATCCGTTGCGAATTTTGGGCCAACACAAAATAATTTGATTATCCGCATCTAAAATGCTCTCTTTGGTTATTGTTTTTCCTATGGCCATTTAAGTAGGCTATCTATTGGATGTTCGCAGGTCCCCCTTTTGTAGCTAAATCAGTTTAGTCCCACGTCCCCGTAAATTGGAGCTGGTCTGGAAGCCTTCAGAGTAGGAAAAAGAGGGTGGGAAATTTGGCGGCAGACAACATTTTAGTGTCGCGTCAAGGAACTCGTATATGTGAGGCTATTGTGAGTCAACATTCCTAAAGCCAAACCAACCAACACTAACTTAACAAGTTATCCTACTCATTTAAGAATTTAATTTCATTAATTTTAGGGAATAGAAAGTATATATAGAGAATATATATATAGAAAAGCACTAAGGTAACCTGGAAAAATTCAGAAAACTCTAGTTTTCCTGTGGAAAGTTAATAAACTCGGTTCTAAACTAAACTTGAACATTAAAGAAACATTAGAAAATAATTATAAAAAAAAAATTCAAAGCTTTCTGGTACATAACCAGAAAAAGCTTTAAAAATGTATTTATATTTATTAAATTTATTATTTCTTATTAAATTTATTAAATTATTTAAAAGAAACACTCTATTTTCAAGGCATTTTTTTCTGTGCCTAAATTTGGTTGGTATTCGGCGAGGCTTTTGCATTTTTATTATCAAGTGTCATGTATGTTTGTATAGGAATATCCATCACAAAAGCATAAAGCATAAAATTGTAAGACTACCAAATCCACGACATTGTTGTGACCTTTGGTCTAAGAAAAACGAAAAGAAAACTCTTGGTAACCAGGGCTACACTGGGCTTAGGCTCAAGAAAAACTATGGTTTGATTAAATATAATATAAATTAAATATTTTAAATTATATTTTCATGGAAACAACATTAGTTTGAATAAATATAATATATATAATATAAAGAAAATATTTCAAATATTTCAGTTGAGGTACAAGCTAGTATCTGGCAAATGACTGTAGCACATCTTTAGTTTTCATGATAAAGTTCTCTCTGTCTCTCTGCATATCTCTCTTAATTTCAGAAAATTATAGGAGCTCTGGCTTACTCTCCACCACGATAAGAATTAATATAAACATTACACTTTGCACTCAGATAATAAGAAAAAAAAAAAAACAAAAACAAATAGATGCATGTAAAGCATTCACCTGAAGCCCAAACGGAAACAGAGCCCACCTGCAAGGTGTATTCATTCTATAAACACTCTAAAAAAATTGTAAAAAAAAAAATTGAAATTTGAGATTAATAGAAATATTAAATTAAGATTAAATAAATATATAAATTCAGTTAATAAGTAATACAAATTATTCAAATATAAAATTTCTAAATTAAAATAAAGGAGAAACTAAATAAATAAATAGCCATGGACTTTAAGAAAATATTCCTAAAGCAAAAATAAATTCAATTAAAAATTAATAAATTAAATAAGCAAAGCTTTATATTACTTAAATTCTACTTATTCTACTTATAATATTTAACAAATTTATTTATGATTTTCCCTCTGACAAGATCAGTTTTCTAAGCGTAATTGCTTTTATAAATTAAATAATCCCCCAACTTAAGGTATTATTGACTTGTGAGATTTGCCTTCTGACGTTTGCCAAGCCATTTAGTATTTACTTTGACGGTTAAGTGTTAAAAAATAACAGGTTCTCAGCGAAACTTAAAGACGTCTGTCAATCATTCGCAAAATGTAAATAAAATATTTTCAATGCTTCAAGCTTTAAGAATTTCCAAAAACAAAAAATGAGAAACTTCAATTTATTTGTATATATCTCATGAATTATGACACTTTACATTTGGGTTAGGTACTTTTTTCTTGAACAACAATTGCTTCAGCTTTTAAGTACTGCAAGTTATTCCATTTTTTATAGATTTTTTTTCTGAGCTCTTAGTTCTTAGAATTTTTCCTGCAAAAATCATTGCAATTGTTAGATCGCTGTTCCTTCATTTCCAAATGCCAGAACCACGTGGGGATCTAGAGTCTAGATGTGCACGTATGTTCCTTATATATGTATATTTATACATGTGTTTATAGAGTATATGGCTGGGGGAAGGCGGTATTGTATCAGCTGGCAGTGCATTGCACTGCATTTATGGAGGCCCGTGTAAACACTGGAGCAGAATCTACCTGAGATAACGACCCGGGTAGAGTCTTTTCCCCCTTATTTTGAAGAACACCTAGAGAAGAACACACCTAGAAGGCACAGTCAGACTTGGGAGAAAACCTACCTCACCTGCCACAAAAATTAAACAAAAACTAAAACAAATTGTTGGTATATAAAAAAAAACTAAAACCAAGCCAAAAGCTTATTTTAGGGAATTATGTAAATTTGTATAATATTTTTCAACTAGTTTTATGATAAATATATGATATAATCATTAGATTGTAATGTTATAAAAATTATAGAACGAATATTATATAATTTATTATAGAAGAAAATAGAAATAGTTATGTTTAAAATCTCTTTACTCTTTAACGAAGCAAATAAACACTTTAAACTAATAAATAAATAAATAAATAAATAAATGTTTAATATCATCATAAATAAATAAATTTAATATAGTTTGATAGACAAATTATTGAAACAAAAATTCAAGTAGATATAAATCTCTCTTAACCCTTTTTTTATTCCAATTTCAAAGTGGGTTGTATGCCTACCCGTATTAGATTCAAAGCAAAATTTCCATTTGATGGATTTTTCTGCGAACTTTTCGATATTCAGCCAGCTTTTATGGCATTTGTTTGCGCCTAATTAAACGCCCGAGCACAAAGTGAGAAATTCAGAAACGCATCGAGCATACGTACTATATGTAAAAACCTAGGACTGACGACGAATCGCTTGGCTGGCTGGGACGTGGCTTTGCATCCGCAATGAATGGCAGAGCGGGGGAGTAGGTGGATGAGAAGGCAGTGGAGGCAATGGAGGCATTGGAGGCGTTGGAGGCGTTAGTGGCCAAGGAGGACTTAGAAGAGGAGAGACAGAGAGAAAGAGAGGTTGGCAAAGCACAAAGCAAGGCAAGGGCACCATGCAAATTACCCCGAAAGGCCATCGCACACAATAAAATCAATAAAAAAAAATTTATTTTTAACCCATTCCCCCATAATGCTAGTTGATTGAACGACAAACGATCTGGCGGAGCAGCAGCAGCAGCGCCCCAAACGGGTTAATCGTGTGTGAATGCATCCCTTTGCTCTGTGTTCCGAATAAAAATACTGCCAAAGGGTGTGCTCCTGGCACGCTTGAATTATATTCGGGTCGGGAACAGGCCTCCGGATGGATGGATGGCAGGCATACAACGAATTTATGATACAATAAGTATTTAAATGCTTGCTCTTAGATTTTTCGATATTTCGTGCTCGTTTCTTCCATATTTTATGTAATAAAATGTTTGCCTATTTTCAAGATATTTCTAATTAGACACAAGACTGACGGTTAGCATTGAAAACAATGCCACATCATGGCCTGGCCAACGGTTGCTGTTGCCTGCTTGGTATGTGGTAGTAGTAGGTGACAGCCAGACACTTGGACACCCAGAGCTCCGTCGTCGTCACAGCGCCGGTCAAGATCGATGGTGGCGAAATTAAAGCGTTAGTTCAAGTAAAAAATAGAACAAACGGTGAAGCTAACATTCTTCCTGAGAGGATAGAGTTTAAGATCAAAGATCAAATCAAGGAGATTGATCAATCAGAGGAGATACCTGGACAAAGGCGAGTACAGAAAATATTTATTCTTTAAGTTTAAGATCTCGTTAATCTTAAGTTTTCTTAAAATTAAATAAAAGTATGAGTCACTCTAAAAATGTTTATATATTTTTGTATGCTTCAGAATATTTTTGATATACCTTAATTGGTTTTTTGAATATTTTTATATATTTTTTTTAAATTATATTATTAATATTCCAAATAGATATTTTACCCCAAATTTAAAGTAAAAACTTGCTAAACCAAAAATCTAAAACGTAATCTCTAACAAACTCATTTGTAGATAATGTCATCATCATTCTGCACCATTACTTTGCCGCGGAATCCGCACAAGCACAATTGATTGCTTTTTATTGCAACCGGAAGTTGCATGATCGGCATGATCGGAGATCATTCAAAGGCATCCGGTACAGAAAACCCAATGCCCGGGTTGTCTCTATCATTATCTTTCCCTGAACTAAACGATATATAAAACTTAAATCGAAACAAATCAAGAAAAAGGTAATAACTGTCATTTTGCCCAAGATGCTGTTTCAGGGGAGTTCTCAGCTGCTGATTATCCGTAATCTTGGCTATTAGCCGGATTATATTGCACAACAGCAGAACCTTGAGTCCTCGCCAATGCAGGGCACGCAAACATAACAAAAATAACAGAGAACTGAAATAGAACCCAAAAGCGAAACCGAAACCGTATCCGAAATCCATAATTACCCGTCCGTCCCCCCCAGAGATACCCGGAATATTCGGAATGGGGTTTGCGTCAGTGAATGAGTGCCCATTATGAATATTAAATGTTTGAACACAAAACGAAAAACGAAACGAGGGGGCAATGCAATGTGCTAGCTCAGGTAAAATGTTATCAAAAGTCTTGACGGAATTTGTCCATTAAATCACGAATCAGAGTTAAAATTATATTAGTTTTTTTTTATAAAGAAATGCATTACCTTAGCGACCTATAACTGTCATTGAACCTGAGCTTATAACTACTCAAGGATGTAGATTATAAAACTATAATCTCAGGTGATATACTCCCCTTCCTTGCACATTCCAATGCATAAAAACTGAAATCCTTAATTTCAATTAAAGTCTACATTTTAAAATTACAGCTAGTTAAGCATTAAAAGAAACATTTAAATATAGGATAAACAAATGAAACAAAGTGCCGACAGCAAAGAAAATAATAATTTCTATTGTTAATGACTTGGACTTTACAGCATTTAAAACAGGAAAAGAAAACAAGGCTCTAGACTCGACTAAGAGGTTTTCAGTATATTGAAAATAAAAGCGGAGAAGTAGTACAAATTTTCTGAATTTTACTTAGATATTACGTATAATACGTATTATATAAATAAATATTTTATAGATTTTTGTTAAATGAGCTTATATTTTTGTATTTTCTAACTATATATATAACTATAATTTTGTAACCAATTTCAAATTCATTAAAATTCTTTGGTAAAATAAATAATATTTTTGTTATAATCCCAATTTTATATGACTAATAGAAAACTCTTTATTATTCCTGCCCTTAAAATGTATATACCCTTCCACTCTAGGGTATCTGATATAAAATCCGAACGAATAAAAACTCAGCGTCCAAACCTTGAAATGCTCAAAAGGGACGTTTTCTCCGTTTGTTTTCGTTCTCCGTTTTTTTTTTTTTGTGCTTTTGCTATTTTCTGGTTTTTGTTGTTGATTCTCTGAGCCTGCGGAAGACAGCCGGAAGGACGCGATGAAAAAGAAATTGGCAAAGTTGACGTTTTGACTGCCTTCGTCCTGGTTCTTGAACTTGAAAGCTTCAAGGCAGCAGCAGAAGGCCAGTAAAATATTATGCAGAAGAGTCTGGACAGCAGCTGTGGTCGCCAACTGCTTATCTTATATATATGTATATATCATGGGTAATTCAGAATTCAGGCAGGAGCACAGGACTACCGCCAGGACAAAAGACACCGACAACTTGTGGGTTTGTTGAACTAGACATGAACCAAATGAATTGCAGTTGTCCTGGGTGCAGCGACCCACGCATACAGGAAGCGGCCGTCGTTGCAGTCCTTTCCTCCTGGCTAACATACATACACACATATAGCACCTGCTCCCGTTTAGCAGGACATATGCTTCTCCTATCTACCTCCCACCTGGCATTAGACTTAAACCATTATAAGCTCGCGGTGCTGATGACCCTTTGGCGGCCTGCCAGGAACACCAACAACAACAACAACTGGCACTTATCCGTGTTCTCCTCCAACTTACCCAGGAAGCTCTTAGCGAAAAATGTCCCACGAATGTGTTGCTGTGCTTAGAATCCAATGTCCCCTTTTAGTCCAATGTTTACGACATTTGTTGTCTCTGGGAGAGAGGTCTCCTCCAAGGGTTTTATTTTAATGACTGAAATTAAAAAAAGAAAACAAAATAAATTAATAAATATTAGAAGGGAGAAACTTTTCTTTGCTGGCATCAATTTTCTAAGAATATTCCTCCTCTTTTAACACATTTTCTATTCATCTACATAGGCCCCCATGACATCACTCGTCCCCAAAATCGATAAAAGGTTTTCTTCTCTGTCGCAGAGCGTAAACAAAGCCGCCAGCGACAGTCGCGAGACATCATTGATAATTATAATAAGTCGGCCGCTTTCTTACGAATATATTTATATACATATATATAAATTTATATATGCACACTGTTCAGCTCACGTCAGAGCGAGCGTTTCCCAGACCTCTGCTTATCTATCTTCTCGTCTTATCAATCGCCGTTAGCAAGTTTCCTCACCCCCCCAGCAGGGAGTTGAGAATTTTCTATAATCTCTATAACAAACTTACTATGTATATAATAAAAGGAAATTTACTAAATACTTCAAGACAATTTTGTTAACTTGACTTTCGTGTCCAAGTCTCATATTGTCCGATTCAAAACCAAGGTAGAACTTGATATACAGCCAGAACATTGCATGTGCACTTGAGTATTGCCATTGCTTTTTTATCAGCGGCACTCGAGAGCTGATTAACCCCTCCCCCCGCTCCTTTCCACTTGTTATTATCAAAATTCAAGTCGAAAGCACTGCACTGATTTGTTTTCCCTTTGGCAATCCAATGCCATTAAATATTTATAAATATTTTGCAATATTTTGTTCCAGGGAAACTAACCCACAAAGTTTATTAATAATAACAAAACAATTTAAGTTATCTTTAGATATTTTTAAGGGGAATTAATGAGGTTTTTTGTTTCACACACAAAGTGTTTTATTAAAAACAAAATAATATAATTTTTAAGGGGAATTCATGGAGTTGTCCTTTCACAAACACGGTTTGTTTTTACAAAATCAAGAAAGCAGCTACTGAATTTTATTTTATAATCAAATGGGATTCAAATAGAGGTTTAAGAAAGCTATTTTTCACTACAGAAACTACCACATTTTCCTTATCTGTATTTAAAGTTTAAAATACGATTTAAAATTCGAAATAGATATAGAAATCGAAATCGATCGATCGACTGGGGCATTATCTTAGCAGAACCCTATGACTGGACTACGCTTTCATCTCCTGATCTTCGCAGCATGTGTGCGACATCTGACAGCGTCGTCTTTTGCCCTGTCACGCAAATAATGAGCAATGCGAATGGAACAATGAGTTATGAAAACACTTGGGTACAGAGCATAGAGGCAAGAATCCAACTATAAATAGACGGGGCAATGCTTTTGGGGCACTGTTTGTTTGGAGAACTTGTTCGTCTCGATTCGTTTTGGGACGTGCCCAAGCATTTAGCAAATGCTAATCGTAATCGCAATCAAAGTGCCATTTTTAATTAACCAATTTGTATGTGTTGTGTCAAAGTGGCCGGCAAGATTGTCCCCAGATGTGGCTTTAATTTTTATTCTCTGTTTACTTTTCGTTTTTGTATATTTATAACTGCTATAAATTGGCAAATGCTCACCGTTCTGCCAATGATTTCCACTTAATTGCCCAGCCATAAGCGGATTGCCAATATCGTAAAAAGCGTAAAGCGTCGCTCTAAAAGTGGGCAGTAAATTATAATATTATGTCCGGCATCTCGCATCGTCAGCACCTCCAATAAATTACATAATGTCCGAGAGTTGGAAAGAGTGTTTGTTTGGTGGGGCACACACCAAAGTTTTGATAGTTCTAATCGCTCCAGCCAGATATAGATAGCCAAACTTGGCCACTTATGGATAAGGCCCAACTCTTCTTCCTGCATTTAAATTAATTAACTTTTCCAAAGAAAGCTCTGCCTACCAGCTGACACCAGGAATTCCAATAACCTTGTCGACGTCGTCGTCGCCGCTGGTGGAGTGTTGGACAAACATCCACACAGTCCGAAAGAGGGAACAACCCGCTGACAAGTTCAAGTGGCCAACTCAAGACTCTCTTGTCCAGAGTGGCTGCAAAGGCGCCAGGCTCCGTGATAATTGTTTTGGTCAAAAGGGGCAGGCAGCAGCTCTCAATGGGGTTCAACGGGTTCGCTACACTCTGAGGTAGCTAATTGCTGGCATTAACAACTATAATTTGTGTACCCAGCCTGTCAGGGGCCTGTCCACCTCTCTCCAGTCTCCTCTCAATATTTCTTCAGCCTCTGACTCGCTTGAGACATGATTGACGGCATTGATTGATCGGCAACGGACGAGTGGAGCGAGGAGGCTTGAGAGATACGAACAATCATCTGGCCGGCTGCCTGATCATTGGCATGTCGATCAAATTAGCAATTAGATAAACAATCGAAACAATAACTACACTCACACGCACACACCCTCCAGGCCAGTCCACAGTACAGTACATCCAACGCGCCCCGATCAAGTTATGACTTTGTTATGAAATTAAATTGGCTAGTGCTTAAATTAAAATGTTAAACCAGAACATAAGGCTAATAATAGGTAGCTGGAGGCGGTCTTTAGGCTAACTTTTGGGTGCTCTTTTAATCATTTTGTAGGATTTTGGATATTAAAGAATAATTTTTAAGATCGATTAAGAATTAAGTTGAAGTCTAGGTTCCTGTTTATTTAAATCGTAAATCGATCATAGCTAAGCCAAACGTTCTTTAATTTTAAAAAATCAGCATACTTAATATTACATCTAAAAATAAATTCATTTTTTTTAGATTTTTAATAATTTTAACGTTGGTACCCTTACAAAATGTTCGAAAACATCGAAAAAATATTTTACTTTCACCAAGCATGACCAGATCGACTCGGCTATTGATGCTGACCAAGAACATATATGATTTATAGGGTCGGAAATGACTCTTTTACTAGTTTGCCAGCTTTTGACTAATTTATAAAACCCTGCAAGGTTGTCAAAAAAGTTTTAAAACTATAGTTTTAGATACAATTTTCTTTAAATAAAATTTAATAAATATTCAATCTCCAGCTAATTATTTAAGCCATATTTTAGTGATATTTTTTATAAATCCTGGTTTCAAATTAAAACTTAAGCGAACTACCCTAAACACCTAATCTCCCACTTAAAGTATTTTATGGTGAGCTAAATATATAAAAATCTATAAGTGGCATTACCCTGACCAAGCAGGGCTTTCGCTGGTCGGTCTACAGTCACCTGTCTATCACCAAAACTACACACAGCAGGCACACTCGAGGCTCGAAGGCAACAAATTTGCTGCGCGTGCGCAAGTGTCTTGCGTTAGTTGGAGTAACTCGGCTAAGTTCGAGTCGGTTCGAGTTCAGTGCACAATATTGAAACTTAATCAATGTGCGCGCTTTTGGTGTACAGTAGTGGCTTTAACTTTGGAGCTCGGACGCTGGTCTATCTGTATCACTTTTGATTTCAAGCAGCCGCTGGCTGAGCTATTTGCACAGTTGCAGTTGCTTGGCGGCGGCGGCACGTTTTTGTCAGGGTTGCCAGCGTGAGTTCATTTTAATTGCCAGCACATTCCGCGCTGTCCGCACAGATACAGATACATTTACAGATACAGATACACTGCAGACACTCAAATCTCGAATCTCACCACCAATATTATGCAGCCTCAACTATGTAAGGAGCTTTGTAATGAACGGGAATGGAATTCCTGGCCAGCGTCCGATTTGATTGGTTTACCCCCAACGCAGGCAAGAATCTCTCAAATCATGGACAGCCATAATAGCTTCAAATTAACTGGTCGAATAGAGTTCATTAAGGCCCAACTAGGATTGCAACAGGACCTCCTATATACAGAATGCTATAAACTTAAGATTTAATGCTATTTACGTTACTTTTCACTTCCCTAACCTGGATCTAGCCTAACTAGTTGTAGCTTTATAGGGTTAAATACGGTTTAATTACTTGTTTAATTAAGGGTTTCGACTTCCAAGGCAACTATTGATGTATAATTTAAACTTAATTTGCATTGCCTTGAAAACAAAATACACTTTATGGGCTGATCTTAGAGATATAGAGACTATAATACGCTTAATTGCACGCTTAAATGCTGATCTTAGAGTTCTAGAGGTTATATAACCAGTATCTAAAAAAAATATGTAAACTAAATTAAAAGCTAAGTACATTTTAAAGCCTTGTATTAGAGGATGAGAACTATCGATAGTGGCCGCAATCGATATTGGACGATATTAAATTATGAACCATCGATAGTGTCGATAGCGCCATCGATTTTCTCCATCTCTACCTTGTATTTACTATTTCAGTAACTTTTTTCTATGGAAAAGCTGGAATTCTGCCGAAAAACTAGCTAAATATTTATACCAGGGGTGCCACAGGTATTTCTTTAAATAAAACAAATTTACAATAAATTTTATATATTTTATTTTTATTTTCAAAATATTAAAAGCAGACTTTCAGAGACATTTTCCATTGATTTTAATTGAAACAATATTCTGGAAATGAAGGGTATTCATTAGCACTTTCATCTTGGGTTAGGCCTGAGCTATTTAGGCTCCGCTTTATCTCTGATATATGGCTATATCCATAATTGATTGGCTATGTAGCTTACGCTAAAGCTGGGTTTTTTTTTTGTTCGCTCTGTTTTTTTGTGCTGACTCTGTCACATTTGGCGGCGAACAAATTAATTTCTGCGCCTACATGCACTAATTGACTCGCATATGGGCGTCTGTCTAATCTGTGGCGGCATTTAGTAATCCGCAACAAAGACGACAGGCAGTCAAAACGAAGTCCGGAACTCGGTGATGACAAATTGAAAGTAAAACCAAGCCAAAAACTATATATATAAGCCAATAAACAACTATATACTTAAATATTATATTTATTATTAGCAAAGTTAAAAGAAACCCTTTTCTACAATACAAGCAAAGCATTTTTTCGACCTAATTTAGCTACATTTCCATGAATACAAGATACAAAAAAACACCTTGGCCATAATTCATATCAGTAACTCTTCATCTTTTTTGAGGTCTGCCCACACAGGAT